TCTACATATTGAACTTCTACTGTCACTCTTATCTGGCTTTTATTTTATTTTATTTTTTAACATTTATTCATTTTTGAGAAACAGAGTGTGGGTGGAGGAGTTTCCCTTTTGGGAGACACAGCATCCGAGGCAGGCTCCAGGCTTCAAGCTGTCAGCACAGAGCCTGATGTGGGGCTTGAATCCATGAACCACAAGATCATGACTTGAGCCAAAGTTGATGCTTAACCAACTGAGCCACCCAGGTGCCCCTATCTGGCTTTTAATATTAAAAGATAAAATAGAAGGTATTGTCCACTGACTACTTTTCAAATTAAAAGCTCAAGATAATCTTACTATTATCACACATTTATCTAAGGCTAGATTATATATCCAGATACATAGACATAGACACATTGACATAGATATAACTAGATACATATATATGCCAGTATAAAAGAAGGATTAAAGACTAAAAATCCCTTTTCTGCACTTTAAAGAAGAAAGCTTTAAAGTCGTTATGATAAAGATTAATAGACAATGAATTAATCTTGTTTTATTTCTCTCTAGTGAAAAGAAGCAGAAAGAGCAGTGGCTTTTAAAGTAGAGTAGGCGCTGACTTTCAGCTCCATCATCTACTAGCTCTGTGACCTTGATCACGTGAGTCAATCCTTTTGAGTCTTGTTTTCCTCATATGATGATACCTACTACCTTGCAAGACTGTTGAGAAGGTAGAGATGAGGTATCTATATTACTTAAAGTAAATGCTAGAAATCATGATTGTTATAGTTACTGTTTTCAACTTGGACCCACTTTGACTCATGACCAAACTATATAAATTACCTTCTTGCAGAAAAGATGCTATTACTCTGACTCCATTCATGAGAAAAGAAAAGCTCTAAGTTGGTTTGTTAGAAAAACATTTGAAACTATTTCAATCAGAGTTCAGCTGTAGATAACAGAAGCCATTCTTATAATTTTACAAAGAAAGAGATTTCATAAAAGAAATGGGTACTCACGTCATTGTTGGAAGGTGCAGCAGGCTCCAGACTGAGCCAACAGAAGAGCAACACAAACGTGGCCAAACTTGGGGAGTGTGCTCTGCCATAAAGAGAAATGTAGAAAATCAAGAAAAGGGCACAGCAGCTATTGGCTCCAGGAAAAATGTACAATTCATCCAGGATCAGAAACCCAGGGCCATGAGAACTGGCTTCAGAATAAGGTTTCTGGGTAAGATGCAGGACTTGCATTTAAATTTGAATTTCATGTCAACAACAAACAATGTTTAGTGTAACTGTGTCCCATACAAGACATACTTAGGCTAAAAATGTTGTTGTTGATTTGAAATTCAAACTTAACTGGCTGTCGTGTGTTTAACTAGGAGTCCTGAATTACTCCTTCTTTATCTGAAATTAAAACTCAACCAGGTGTCCTATATGTTTATTTGCTACATCTAGAGCTCTCTAGAGCCACCCGACTGTTTTAGTATCACCAGAAAGGTGTTTTGCATGATGCTGCCTCAGTTCAGTCTCATGAGATTGTATCAGATTGGCAGAAACTAAATCACAGCAGGAACTCTGGCTGCAAGGACACTTGGGAGACATAATCTTAGCTTTTCAGTCTCGGTATCATAGCAGACATGCAAGAGACAAAGGAACAGGACAAGCAAACAATTCATCACAATATCTACACAGAAATATTGATTCATTGCGCTTGTAATTTGTTTTATTTTAACCGATATCTCTTGAACATCTTTTATTTTTTAGTCAGTATAAGTATTAGGGATGCAGCACTAAAGAAAATAATAATGACAATAAAGTCCTTGATCTCATAAAGCTTAGTCTGTCAGGGAGGAAAACAACAAGAAACCCCTATAAATTACAAAAATGTTTGAAATTGAAAGTAAGGCTACTTGTAGTCCTGTCACTCTTCTTCCATCTTAATGTAACAACAACAACAAAGAAGAAAGGTAAAAAATCTCCTTATCCTTTTCTCCCTCCAATTTTCCTTCCCAGGGATAATCATCAGTAAAAGTTGTGAGTGTGTGTGTGCTTGCACATGTATTGTGAATAAGTTAAACCTGATCGCTAAGTCCCGTGACGGTGGGAAGGATATAGGCTCAGTTCACCTGCTGAAAAGGTCAACATTACTCCAGCTAAAAAGAAAAAGACGGAATCCAGACATGTCCTTCCTCTTCCCTTGGGATCCTCCGTGTCTGATTTAGCACCCATGGCTTTCTGGAAGTCACTGTCTCCCTTGGTCTCCATCCTGCCTCTACCCTGCTGTGTCTCCTTCACCTGCCTTTATCTTCAGAGCAGACAGACTCACTCAGAGTCAGAGTGGAGCACGACAGGCCAGGGCAAACCTCTCTCTGCAGAGAACTGATCAATTTTCAGAGGTCCAGTTTTCATCTGGTGATGAGAAAATGTCCCCAGCCCATTAACGTGAGGATGCCAGGAGATGAGGGGAATGAAGGGGAAGAACCTTTCTGTTACTCTCCCCACCCCACCCCCACCTTATACCCCACACATAGTCCTAACTCCATGTTCTGGCTCCTCTACCTAGCACCAAAGGTTCTTCATGTCTGACTCTGACCACACGACCAGGTTTACTTCCCACCATTTCCTTACAAAGACTCTGCTCCAGCCACTCTCCAAACATGCTTTATTTTCCCACCTCTGTCTCTGTCCTGACATTCCGTCTGTATGGAGGGCCTAACAGTCCAATACCTCTGCCCGTGAGCACTCACCCCGCTCAGGATCCAGCTTCAGTGCCTCTTCCTCGGTGATGCTGCCTTCGATTCGTTCCTGCAGAAGCCAAACCTGAGACTAGGATTTGAGGGCCAGAGGGTTATTTAGGAGGAGGTTCCGGTAAGCTGATGTTGGGAGGAGAGAGTGAGGCAAGGGTGAGGAAAGCTAACAAAGGGTATGTATTGAGGAGGTTATATGGTGGGCAACTGGTGGGGGTAGGGGGAGAGCTTAAGCCAACTGGGGAAGTCAGGGAGAGGCACCCACCTAACGTCAAGAAAGATGAGGTGTTTATCCTCCGCCTTCATCTGCCATTGCTGAAGGTTGCTCCTAGTGACATGAAGTCCCCTGCAGCTCTGACCTGGTTTATGTGTGATCTGAGAGAAATGTGTAGGGGTGTGCAGGAGGATACTGCCAGTGCGCACAGAAACAGGGTAACGAGGAGATCTGGGCAGGGGGACATGTTGCATTTTGACAAGTTAGACATGATTCCATTATGCTAGTATGGCCTTTCGTTTGAATCATTCCTGCTTCGTGTTGTAAGTATTTGTGTGCAATCAGAAAAAAAAAAATTAAATGACTAATTGCCTTAGCGTGGGTTACCCCAGAAAGCAGAGCCAGAGGCAAATGCTCCTATGCTCTGACTTTATCAGAAAGTGCAAAGTAGGAGTGACGGCAAGAGGGAGTGAGGCAGGGAAGACAGAAGTGCCAACATGAGGTACATTTTGAAGCTGGCTGCCAGGAGTGTCTTCCAGGAGGCTGTACATATACACTCAGTGTCTCAGGACACGCCATCAAGAGAAGGAAGGGAGAAGAATCTATCGACTGGTTCCTTTCTCTCAGCATCAGAGGTTTACTTGACAGGGACTCGGGCCCCTGAACGTCCACGGTACAGCTGGGGAAGCACTGGGAGAATCCATAGCAATCCAACACCTCAGCACTAACAGAGAGGCACCAGGGCAGCGGGCGAAGCCCGAGACAAGGGGCTATCTATGGGTGCATGAGGTTGGTCTGAATCTCACCTGGGGCCTGGGCTGGGTGGGACAAAAAAATGTCTGGAGACAAATGAAGGCAAATGAAGGCAATAAAAGTGGTTTATTAATTGTGTCCAATTCACCAACTGAAACTACGCTATAGGGATGACCCAATCCTCACATGGGCCCACATATCACACCTAGAAGATTATCCTTCAAGAGTGTGAAGCATCCATCCCCACAGTGGCTTATACATTAAAATCAACCTTCTATTATGGAAATCTGGTACATTAAACAAAAACAAAAACAGAAACAAAACAAAACAAATGGAAATTGAGTAGATGGAGCTATTCTTTCCAACATGCCTGATCTCTGTGAAAACAAGTCTCTGAGGAGCTGGAGACGTACTAGAAGAATGAAGTGAAGAAGAAAAACAAGCAAGTGAAGCAAATGTGAATGAATCCTTGTTTTTATTAGGAAGATAAAGGAAAGGGCTTCTCTGGTTCACTAAAGGATCCTTCGAGGATAATCTATACAAAATTTTTACCTGTTTTTTAATTTTTTTATAGTTTATTTTTGAGAGAGAGACAGAGTATGAGCAGGGAGGGGGAGAGAAAGAGGGAGACACAGAATCTCAAGTAAGCTCCAGGCTCCCGTCTGTCAGCACAGAGCCCACCGCAGGGCTCGAACCCATGAACCGCAAGATCATGACCAGAACCAAAGTCGGACGTTCAACTGACTGAGCCACCCAGATGCCCCTTACCTGTTTTACTTATACTCATTAACTTCTGTGAACTGCTAATTATCACTGTATGCAAATTGTTTATATGTTTATGAAATTTGCATTAAAGAGGCAAAACGAACTACATCAAGGAAACAGAAAGGCCAAAATTTTTGTAGGTGCTGTCCTGAAAAAGAGGTAACATGTAAAAGAGAAATGTCTTTATCTGGTGGATGATGTAAGTACCCGGAAAAATACAGGCCTGTGTAGACATTCTTTAAAGGAAGAGAGAGGAGATGTACTTAATTTCTTTACAGCTATCAGCTCTGTATTTATTTATTTTTTTAATATCGATACTGTTGAATGCATTAGGAGCAGGTATTGATGAAAAGGTCAATGACACTTCTTCTATAATCATGAACTATTATTTCAAAAGGAATTATTTTACTTTAAGGAACATGTCTTAAATGTTAATATTCCTTAAGAAACATTCTATTAAATTCCGCACCCTATAAAGAAATTTAGCTATTATTAGTTTTTTCAAATAGGCAGAAAAATGATCTAGACGATTTATCATTAATATATAATATAAATATATTGTCAAAAATGCACTAAAGGGTCATGTAGATAGCAAATCATAATGAATACGATAAGGAAGGTAGTGCAACCTTTCAAACAAAGAAGTTTTCAGCTTCTGGAAGAAGAGCTATGTAGACCACTGCCGAAACCATGGTCTGTGTTATCAGGTCACAGGAGCACACTCTTGAAGATCAAGTGCTTGAATGTAGTCAGCCATAGCTTCTTCAATCAGACCTATTTTACCACGAACTTCTGCTCTACGACTATATATGAGAGCATCATCAGGCTTCAAAGACAGGGCTGTAAAAGAAAAACATTCCAAGTTATGCTTTATGTTAACATTAGGAAATAGCCTCATTTTTTTAAATAAAAATTTTATAAGAACTTTAGTGTTATTTATTTGAAAACATTTTTCTTCAAATGTAAGTAATCATTCAGTAAGATTAAAAATATTAAATCTTTCCAAGGAAACTAACTTGGGGAACACAGTACAGTGTCTTTCTTTGAAAGACTGCCATTGTTTATCTGTGGTTTCCTTAATAATTTTCTGTATCTCAGCTTACCCATGCCTTAAGTTGTTCCATAAGCGAATCAATATTGATGACGTTAAAGTTATGATATATATAAAAACATTAATTCTTATGTAAGTTTATCTAGACAAAGAGACTTGATGGCTTTCTCCTTTTGTTGTCTAAAAACAAATATATCAATCCCTGTGATCTTAGCCCAAAATTATGAAATAAAAATACCTTTACTTAGGTCTCCCTCAGCTAGTTCATATTGCTTTAAACAACAGTAGAAGTGTGCTCTGTTCAAATATACTGCAGCCCAAAAGGGACATCTTTCAACCACACATGCGAAATCTTCTTTTGCTTCTTTATATTTCTTTAATGTTGTATTTGCAATAGCTCGATTCATGGTAGCACATTCATTTTCTGGATCAAACTTCAAAGCCTTTGAGAAGTAGTCACTAGCCTATAAAACATAAAAATGATGATAATTTGAATATATTTTAATTGGCAGCTGTATAGCAATTTGAAGCACCTTTGCTCTTAATTTAAAATAAGGACACTGGCATATCAAGGGGACAGAGGAAGCATTTCATCCCAGATACAGATGATAAGGAGGTTGCACTGTCTGTAGATAATGTAAAAATCAGTAATAAGACCAGTCAAAAGTCATTTTGCTTTTTGTTATCACCATGTGTTGGCAAATCTTGATAATGTCAGTGATAAAACACTACTCCTTGCTGAGGTGAAATGCTTTACCACCAACCCCTCAAATCCTACTTCCCTCTACAGCACTAGAAAAAGGTAAAATATAAAGATATAAGTTAGAAAATATGGTCACAACAAGATAAAATATGTTGGAAAATTAACATTTTTCACATAAAATCAGAGTACCTAAGAGCAAAAAGGGATAAGTGAATTTTCAAAATAAGGTTCTAAACCATACCCTAAGGGGATAAAAACTTAGTTATACTATGAAAGTTGGGAAGAAGAAAGAGGAAAAAAACCAACTTGTCAAGAAGGCCAAAGACTCTATATTATTCTCTACTCATCATCAAGCTGAAAGGGACAGTTCAAAGTGTGGTCTTAGTTCGAGTATCATTTGCTACAGGTCTGTAAAGAGCTTAAGTACAGAAACTAAAAGTAAACCATCAGTAACTTCTAAAGCACTTGGCTATGACATTCCAGCATATTCCAGCACATAAACATATTTCTAGTAACTTGTTTATATTATTTTAGCAACATATTGATCAATAATAAATTGGAAACTTTTTAAAATGGTCCTTCACCGCAACTCGCTTCAGATGCTGATTAGACACCCTACTACTCAAGACAGGAATCTCTTCTTTAATTCTAAGATGGATAAAGATTGGATCCTACTTTAAAATTTGCTTCACTTAAAGGAGAAGTCATTTTTAACAATACAGATTGTTCTCCAATTTTTTTTACCACTCACTTTTTCCCAATACACCACAACCCTGCTTTTCTCTGTCTCCCCCTATTTTGTGAGGGCTCAGCGTTTGCTGAGACTGCAGATGTCCTCAAGCCTGGCAGACATTTTCTAGTTCCTTTCTTTCATGACATTTCTGTAGCATGGACATTCTCTGCTTCCTGTGTAAAATTCCCTGTCCTTGAGACAGAATGTCTCCTTGGTTTTTCCCTTACCCCTCTGATAATTTTCTCTGTCTCCTTCACTGAACTATTTTTCTCTGTGTTTTCCAGGGATTCATGAGTGAAAAGAAGCACTGGTAGCATGGTGGCCAGGAATCCAGACCATGGAGCCAGATTTCTAGGTTCAAATCCTGGCTCCACCACTTGTTATCACCATGTCTTTAGATGAGTAACTAAAGCTGCTTTTGCCCCCAACTTTCTTATCTGGAAAATGGAAGTGACAAACAGAAGCCTACTTCCAGTGCTTCATGTAGGGTTAAGTGAGGTTCATATGTAAAATACTGAGAATGATATTCATAATACCGATTATTTTCAATTCAATTGTTATTGATATACCATTTTCCCCCAGTGTCTACAAATGAAGAGACGACACTGCCCTAAAACAACTCTCTGCAAACTTTGCTACCTCTGATGACTTTCAAGAGGCAATTAGATCAAGATTGTGTAACCCATCTTGTTCCTAGATAGAACTATTCTATGTGGCAGATAAGTGCAGTTTAAGGATCTATTAACATGGTGACAGAATTGACATCCTTCTGTGAAGAGCTTAAAGAGAATTCACTCCTGAACAGAAAGCTGGACTCAACCATCATCAGAAATGAGGCAAGGAAATGACTCCACGCAGCGCCAAGACTTTCTTCAAAAAGTAATTTAGGCTTCATTTTAGTTAACCAGTAAATGGTGTCTAAAGGCCACACTCTTCTACATCACAAAAGCATGACTTCAATCAGGTAGGAGCAAATGCCTACTTAAGCTAAGATAAAACAATTCAGTAACATACAATAATGTACCTACCTGTGAACAAGGTAACTTTCTATTATAGCTTCCAAAATATATTACTTAGAAAATAAGTCTATACATTTAATGAGGTTACTTTTGCAGTATAGGAGTGATAGTTATGAAGCAATTAAGGCCAAAGATACTTATTGCAATGATGCTCTTGGTTTTTTAAGTGTGTCTAATGCCATAATATTTGTAATTAATTAAAAAGCAGATCCAGTCATTTTTTTAAGTCACCCATTGTTCATGATGTATGCACGTAGTTCATCCAAATGTGATTTAAAATGATTAAGGTCATTAACTAATGATAAAAGAGGCCAGAACACACACACACACACACACACACACACACACACACACAAACTCGTTAGAGATTATTTGATCTGTTGAAGGACCCTTCTTTCTGTCCCTAAATCTTCCTTTCAGTATAGTTAGAAACAAAGTTTGAGGAAGTGGGATGAAGGGAATAGAAGCCACTTTCTCCACAAAAAGGCTTTGAGCTTACTAAAATAGCTGCATAATTACTGTTAAAGTCTGCTTAACTCTGGAGGGGGTGTGCACTGTGAAGCCCAGGCATCCAGTGTATCAAGAAAGAGGACAAAATACATTTTAGATGAAATATTCCCCCAGCTAATGTGTCCCTAGTGCCAGGGAGACAGAATCATACTAAAACAAACAAAAAAAAAATCAAGGATCAAATAAACTTTAAATCTAAGTAGTATCATAGATGATACCCATAGAGTTATCAAAGACAAGTTTAAAAGTTTAGAGTCTCTCTCCCATGTGGATCTTAACACTTATGGGAACAGAAAATTGGCCTGGGCATTATTTATCTTTATCTCCTTAACTAACTCCACAATGCAGGGAAACATTGCTAGGACTCAGCCAGAGATGGTCTAAGATTGGTGAAGTTTAAGGCAATTGACCCTGGCTTGTCTACCTGGGAAACATTAGCCTCCCAGCTGTCCTTTGAGGTCTGAGCTACAACAATCTCATTCATGCCTCACAGAATTACGCCTTTAATAATTTTCTGTCCCAGCATTAGCTTCACTACTAAGGTCAATGAAGCTCATCACAGGGCTACTGTCCAGGGTCATGATCGAACCTGGGAAAGAATAAGAGCCAAAGAAACCAAGGCAATGTCAGTAGAACAGAATGGAGGGCTCATAGCTGAGAAAAAAAAAAAATCAAGAAGCAAAACTGACGGGATTAGGTAACTGAAAGATAACAGAAGTGAGGAAGAGAAAGGTATGATTGATGCTGATATCTCTACTTAGGTGACCTGATGGAAGATGACATCTTGAATTGAAAGAGGATCTATATGAAGAAGTGTTCAACAAGAGGTAGGGGATAGAGAGATCAATTCACTTTGGGCTCTAATGTACCTGGAAAATCTCCAGTTTTAGCAACTGGTGATACATATGAGTTAAGAGCTCAGAAAAAGGGTGCAGGCTGACATGTAGTCTAAGCCATGGTTGTAGATGGGCTTTCTGAGGAAGGAAATGTAGGCAGAGTAGGACTCCAGACCTATAGAGCTTACAACGTAATCAGAGTGAGGAAATAAGAGATCAGCACACAGAAACAATTGTGGAGTGACCCAAAGCAGTACTGAATTTGTGTAGAAAAAAAGCATATATAAAGCAGTATAATGTTGATAACTCACTTTAAATTCATAACCACAACCTAAAATGAGAGCTTAATGTTGTCTGGTAATCAGCCCACTACACTTCACTAGTATGTTCACTCTACTATTCTCTATAACAATTATTTCACAGTTTCTTTTTTCCCCAAAACTCTTAGCCACTCTGCCCCACTTGTAAGTGTCCATCCCACTCTCAACTGATAAACTGATGCTCACATTCAATGGAGAAAATATAGTCAATAAATAGAAATGCCTGCTTATCAAAATCTACCCACCTACCTTCAACTGTGCCCCACCTCTTTGCCTTCCCTCATGATACTATCGATAGTGTGTCCTGCTCCCTTCAAAGGCAACCCCTGGAACTTCCAAACTTTAACTTTATTTCCCAAAGATTTGGATCCTAATTATCCCTGCCACTCTCTCCTGCACCAACAATTTCTCCCTTCCTGGTACATTTGTCAGTGACATAAGAGCATGGATCAATATCCTTCACATTCAAAAAAATAAAAAGTAAGAATTTCTTACCCCACCTCAAGCTATCAAGTTTCTTTCTCATTCTACTTCCTGTATCTCCTCTCTGCTTTGCTCTTAAACCCTGGTGCTACCTCAGGGCTTGCTCCTTAAACCCTTTCTCTCCATCTATACTACCTGCCCAGGGAATTCCAATCTCATATAGTCCCACATATATGCTCATACTGATAAAATAATGCTTATGTGAGACTGTATTGCATTAGATGCTTATCACTGCTAATATTTTTTTGTTTATTTTCTATTTCTTCCTCCAATAAAAAAAGTAAGTTACATCAGAAAAGAAGCCTTCCTTATCTTGTTCAGCTCTGTATCCTCAGGGTTATTATTAATGCCTCCCACGTGACAGGTACATTATAAGTACAGGGAGATTGAAGTACAGGGAGATTGAATAAATGAAGAGCTAGTGGAATCTGAAAATATTTGCTAAACTTTTCCAGCAAAATAAAGACAAGAACCATAGCCTCTTGGTACATAAAGATGCCCCACAGATCATTTGATTCAAGGATACAGTGGCAGTCCTGGATGTCAGAGGAGAACATGGGGTCTACAGGTCTCAGAAAATGCAACCAATAAAAACAACTTTTTAAAATGAGAATATCATCTTAGAAGCTAAGGGTTGTGAAAAGTTTGGTAGAAGCCTTCTTAGACCAGCTAGGCCTAGAGAGGACATTTTGCAAAGTCCTTTGCCATTGCGTCAAAAGGAGCACAACTTAGAAAGTCAGCATGGCTCATAGCCCTGATTCACACAAGAGTCCCTGCTGTTAGTCCAGGAACAAGACGTATCTCATTCAAATGTGAGTTAACAGAAAAGCAATTTGCCCGCCTCCACTGTAAAAGCCAAGAATGAAAAGTAATAGCTTAATTTTTGGAAAGATAAAGAAAACTAACTAGAAAAAAAAAGTATTGTTACAATGTTGAAAAAAAATTATCATATAACATTTCAAAGTAAGCTAGAAAAAAATTGCTAAGGGAGCCCTTGTGTTTAACAAAAAATAAATAAATACTGAAGGATATCAGAAAAGATGTGTCTAGGAAGGTATGACATGGAAATCGGATGAAACTGAAAAACAACAACAACAAAAAGAAATTTAAAAGAAACCTGATCTATAAGGTCCACAGGGGATAATAGAGATTTCAGAAAACACAGGAAAGATTTAGAAGACAGATGTGAAAAAAAGTAAAAATGCAACAGAAATTAAGAGATTAAAAACATGAGAAAAAATAATTGGTACATAGAAGTCAAAGGGCATCTTATATATAATAATTGGCATTCATTCCCAATGAAGAGAATGATGAAACAAAAACTTTTACACTGAATTAATAACAACTTTTCTGAAAGCTGCATCTATTGAAAATGCACACTCTATACTTAAGAACTTTGACTCCAAATCATCAACTCTGAGATGTGCCTTGGTAAAACCTTTTGCTTAAAAAAAAAAGAAAAAAAACAATTTGCCTTGACAAAACAAAGTCACCCATAAAAGAATGAAAATCAGGTTTGCCATCAGGCTTTTTGATAACAACATACAACACCAGAAAATACTGAAATCCTTAAAACATTCGAGGAAACAAAAGTGAGTCAGAACTCTAAACCCAGACATGCTACCTTGAGTTGTAAAAGCTGCAGGCAAACAGCTTTGAACATGAAAAAATCCAGGAATATTGTTCTCATGAGCCCTTTCTCAGGACTCTGCTAGAGGACCAATTTCAGGCAACTAAGAAATTAGTGGCTGGGAGGGAAACTGGCAAAAAGCCTGGTGATGCGAACTGAGTATACTTAACTGGAGAACTAAGACTAATATGTAAAATAAAGTAACAAAGTAGTATGCAAATATCAACCCCTCTGGCAGTGGAGGAATAACAAAACTCACAACAAAATGGGAGAACAGAGAGACACAGTGGAAAGCTGGCAGAAGCTGGTACCATAAGCTTGCACGTATTTAAGAATAAAAATAGAAACTTTTTTTTTAAAAAAGAGAATACTATTAACTAAAATCAACTGATCGATGAGAGGGAGGGTTAAGGGAAGAAGAGATTAAATGGTAATTTTGTTGTTCATAGTACAGAAACTGAAGAAATAAGGAACTAAGGGTATAGAGATATTTTTATAAAGTTAATCACTAAAGCAAAACTGAAAACCCTCCTAAATATCAGAAAAACCTTTCAAAATTGTAAATAAAGTAGACTACAGAATACAATATTCTAAGTGCAGTACACAGAAAATATGACATAAAATAACAGAACTAAGATCAAGCATACTGACCATGCCAAAATGTAAATGGACTTAACCCATCTATGAAAAGCCAAGTGTTTTCAAATTGCCATCTAAAGCAAAATCTAACTCTATGCTGTATAAAAGAGACATAAACCTAAAATAAAGGATTCTAAACATTGAAAATAAGAGGAAAGACAAAGGAATACCAGGCAAAAGCAAACCAAATGAAATCAGAGGTCACGATCTTCATATCATGCACTCACCATGCATAGGTAATGTGTATGAATATCTGTACATAAAACAATAATGTAGCAGCAATATTCATAAAGCATAAATTATAAAAGATGTAAAGAAAACTACCGAAGGCCACTCTAATTTTGAGATACTTAAATCTTTCTGAGTCCAACATCAACCAAATGAAAAACAAATATGGATGTAGGCTAAATTAAAAACATAATTTATAAGGTATATTTTATATGGATATTTTTAACTATATATCCTTATAGCAGAAATTCTTTTTTGAAAAGGCCCCTAAGGTATTTAAGTTGCCATGTACTGGACCACACTAAAACTCAATAAACTCTAAAATTAGAAAATATAAAGCCCTTCTACCTGGACATTTTAACTACCTTGTTAATTTATTATTCAGTCAAAGGGGAAATAAAATTTCAGGTGTAACATTTTAGGGAAACAAAAATAAAAAACGTAGGAAACCAGAATACACAGGAAACTGCTAAAAGCAGTAGTTGGGGAAATGGCCTAACTTGACAACTCATTACAATATAAAAAAAAGGGTGAAAATAGATTAATAAAACTTCTGACTCAAAGATAGACCAAGAACAAGATAAACTGAAGATAAAAAAGAGAATATAAATAAAAATATTAAAGTTGAGTTTGAATTATGTAAATATCAGAATAATTCGAATTATGTAAATATCATCTAATAACTCATTTCAGACACTCTGAATTGCAGTCCAAAAAGATTAAGATGTCATAAAACCAGAGCTAACATCTTTATCTCCTTACTCCTGGTCAAGTGCTCATGTGACTGAAATTTAGGAAAGGTAGCAATTAAGATGAGTTAGATAATCACATCATGAAAGAGAGTCTTGGAGAAAGTCTGAGAGTTGGGTAAGTGGAGTCAAAGAGAGGATTCCAAGCCAGAAGCTGGCAACAATGGATAGCAAGGCAATGGCCTGCGCTTGGGGAAATCCAGAACAATGTTTACTGGACAAGTATTGAATGGTTGATGATAATAACAAGAATAAGTCCATAGAGATGTAAACATTTAATAATTACAAAAATTCTTATGAAAAAGAACTTAAAAAAAAAAGAGCTAATGAATGATTAGCCTGTTATGTAAGGATTGCATTCTGAAACTATATATAACAAAGAAAGCTTTTAGTGTCCAAAAGAAAATGTTAAGGAAAACTCATTACCTGGAAAAACTGCCTGTGGTGAAAATAGATATTTCCTGCATTAAAGTAAGCCAGTGAATACGTGGGGTTTAGGGAAATTGCTGCTTGATAGTCTTTCATTGCATTCTGTTGTTGACCCATAAACTCGTGAATCACACCGCGATTTGTTAAGAATTCTGCTGTAGTATTGATCTGCAATATAATAGTATGAGTATTTAGCATCTGGGAATAGTATTTATCTCCAATTTCATGTCTAAAAATGAATGTTATGAAATCTACTTGTGGGAAACTAGTAATTTTATAGTGCAGGTGAAACCCATTAGAGCAAATATTTTGAGAAACGACATGGTATGAGTTGATTCAATGTCAACCCTTTGTTGATTTGGTTGCAATAAAACAAATAATCTTAGTGCTTTACTCAGTTCCTGTCCAAAAGATAGACACAGTGGGGGGAGGGAGGAAGGAAGGTTATCTCTTTAGCTCTGGTAAGCTGGAGAAGAAATCAAATAGTTAACATGTTTGTTTGTCCTTAGGAGTTGCAATTATCTTTCAGTACTTTCCTTTTTCTCATATCAAAGAATACAAAATCTGCCCATTTCTACTGAAATAGAACCCAAATTCCAGAAGAAAAAAGGAGGATTTTTCTGTCACTGTATACAAAACCTAAGATTTTTATTTGCCATTTCACTACAGAAGAATCTGGGAATTTATACTGTTCCTTCTTTAGTTCCTTCAAACCCAGAACATTATTTTATTTTTTGCATTCATTTTTTATTACAAACTAATATTGATGTCCCATGAAACTACAAATTGCATTTACTGAGAAGAATCAACATTTGTCATGAGTTTGTATTTTGGATTTTAAATGTATTTATGTTACAAAATTGGCAAACCATGATAACTCTTTGCTGTAGGATTCTTCTGGGAAATGAAAACATACAAACATTATTTTCCCTACAAGTTACTTTAAAAAGTAACAGAGACATTACATGACCCTATTTATTATTGCTGTTAATTTATGCCAATGATAATATTATCTAAGTGCATTTTTACCTTTATGGCAGCATTAATGTCTTGAATTGCAGCAAAATTATCACCCATCTGAAGACAAACCACAGCTCTTCCTTCATAGGCTAAGTAGCATTCTGGATCAATTTCTATGGCAATGGTAAAGTGATTCCAAGCTTTCTGGAATTTCCCTTGGGCCTAAAATGTTTCATTTACATGAAGTTAGAAATTGTGTGTAACATGACAAATATTTATGGTTCTGACTCAATCAGATAAAGCCTCAAGTAAGGGCCAATTCATATTGTGTTAAATCCAAGATATTTTAAACAAGGAAGTAGATTGTATTGTGAGTGCACTCAACTGACTGAATTACCTCTGAGTATTTATGCTAACATTTTAATTAATTAAAAAATCTAGTGTCAGAGTCATCTCTTAGGCCAATCCTGGACAACACTAATGCTTCTGACAATCACCACCACGAAGTTTACTTGAGCTCCACACACACAGGGAGGGACTGGATTTATTCCTTGGCATTGAATCTCCAATTACATGTAACATATACATAATAAACATAATAAAATAAATGTGTTGTATAAGAGAATAAACTAATAGTGTAAAACCTATCGTGACAGATTGCACCAACATCTAGAGATTTAGGATCACTCTACATATTTCATTGTAAAAGGCATCCAAATCTACCAAGTATCTGTTCATACAAATCTTAGCACCAACTGAAAAATAAGAACAAAGGTTAGGAGAGGGGTGCTGTTAATTGAAAGATGTCCAAGTATGTCCAAGAGATGACCGGCTAGCCACCAAATACCTCATCACCGTCAGGCAGCGAGCTCATAAATTTACAGAGGTCCAGAGTCTGTCCTTCATTCTCATAAGTTAAAAATCCAACATGCCAGAATCTCAGAAGCTGCCTCACATGAACCAAGCTGAGCCGAGTGACTCTTGCATACAACTCATCTGATAACTACACACTTTTCTTAACCCAGCAGATCTTCTGCCTCTGCGCAAATTAGGTGAAAATCAACACGGTCATGACAAATTCATTTGAGAAACAAGAATAAGAATATTAAACTGCAAACAGTCTTACAACAGGATATCTGTCATCTGTTCCCGACAACTGTTTTGGCTAACTTCTATATGGCTAGTGCTAGGCACACAGTAGAGAAATCTGTAGGTATTTGTTGAACAAATGGTTACTTTTTCCCCTGAGCAGGATTTGGATGAACCTCTCCAACTCTCCTTTCTCAGTCCTTCCTTTCCTGATTCAATTCTTCCTCATAATGATGTTTCTCCATCTTCTTTCAGATAGATATATACAAAGTAAGATCTCCATAAAACAAAACTCTTATGCCACTTCTCTGCTTAATCATATTAACATTTTTAACTGACCTGAAAGGCCTTTACCTCCAGTAATTTCCCAATTTTCTAGCCTTGTCCTACAACACCCTCTTCTTGCACAACACTCTGGGTCCTCAGTTTCTTTCACAAGACTTTATAATGGGTTGTTCACTGTGTCCTAGCTCCAACTCTTAACTCTGACTGATTACGAGTCTTTCACACTTCCATTAAATGTTTCTTTCTCAAAAAGCCCTTCATTACTTCTTCAACAAATCTAAGTTCCCTTGTTTAAGTCGTCCTAAAACATATCCTTTCCTTTGTTGTACTTACCATAAGTATAATTAAATAATTATTAACATGATTGCTTGATACTCATCTCTCTAGTAGGTGGTAAACTCTATAGGAAGAATCAAGTATATTTGGTTTACTGCATATCCCTAGGCCTAGAGAAGTTCTTACCCTATATTAGGTGCTCAGTAAAATGCCTACTGAATGCACTGAATGACAATGTTAACACATTTCGTTGGATTGCAGTCAGCTCTAGCAGCTTTGGGAGTCATCCTGTCTCTTCAAATTGATTTTGCAACTTTCTACTGTGATCCAATAGTGGCTAATTTTATGTTTTGGTCTCAGAGGGCAATCTTTACTTCCCTTATTATCAGCTCTTGGGCACACCACCAATCCTAATAATCAATTCCAATATAATTAATGTTATTAGATCAGCCAAACTCATTTATTTTCAAATTTTTAAAAACTCAACTTTAATTGTAGATTAACAAGAATTTCTGCAAATTACAATATTTTGAACATATTTGTTGCCTATTGTCTAAAACTTTGAATACTGAAAAAAGATTTAAAAAAAGAGAAGAAAATTTTAAATTACTCAGTTCCTCTCCATGGAAAATATAGCATACTTAGCACTTTATTCCAAGAATGTCGCTACATATTTTATTAGTGCAAATACGTTACTGAGTGCATGGGTCAGGTCAGAGTGCTCCAGAAACCATTCAGAGACCTGCTTAGATCTACTCTGTGTATCACACAGAGTAGCACTCTCCCTGAAAGGACAAACCCCTAGTCTCTTGCCTGCCCAGCAAGTTCTCATTCACTGCCATTTGGAAGATGACCTGAATCCCTATACAGTGGTTATCTGACCCATTGTATGGCTAAAGTTCACTTCAAAATTCTCATGCATTGTTTATTCTTTCTAGCTTTTCATTAATTCAACAGGACAATAGCTATGGGGCCCAATACAAGTTTGTGAAACAAATGTTAGCCAGGCTGTTACACGTGAAACCCATCAGGCAAATTTCAAAAGATGTCTGTAAGTGTGGGGGTAAGGTAAGGCAAGGCACAGGCATTAAGGGACCTCAGGTTCAAAAGGTCATCATCTCACTAATGTACCAGGTCTCTGCTATTAAACCCTCGCTTCTCCCTGCTGCTCTAACCTTAAGGGAAAAGTAAAATGTACATAAAGCAAAGAAATAACATGTATCCCAATCACCAGTAAAGGGCCAAATATATTCTTTCCCTTTTTCCAAAAGGAACTTTTATGGGCTAATAGGTTGTTATAGAATACTACCTGCAAATTATAGCCTAAACTAATTCTGGCTTTTGTGTATGCTGGATTAATGTGCAACACTTTCAGAAAGTCCTTCTGTGCTTGTTTGGTGGCTTCATCATGGCCGTATTCCATGTAGGAATTTCCCCGTCCAACATAAGCATCCAGAAAACATGGATCAATTTTAAGAGCCCAGGTGAAGAAATCAACAGCTTCTTGAAACTCCTTATTTCTGAAAATAAATGAAAATATTGATGCTTTCTGAGGAATTTTCTAAGTGCTTTTCTGTGTATAATTTACTCATGAAGATTTGCATTGACCCTTATAAAAAAAACTTTCATTTTTATTATCTATCATAGGAAGTGAGTATGTGAGTTCATATGACCTAAGGTAGTCTGACAGGGTCTTTGAAGACTTTGGTGAAAGGAAAGAGAGAAGTTAAGAGCCATTTTTATAGAAAAATATGTTGGGATGACATTCTAGAGTTCTTTTTATAGAACTATAAAAGTCTGAAAGGCATTCCTGGACTTGTTTTTAACAGCTATCAGTGACCAGTACAGAAAAACATTTGCTATTATTGATGAAAATACACTATTTAAATCAGATTAAAATAAATGTATTTATGTATTTCACATTTCCTTATACAATGAAAGGAACCAAATGTTTTATCATATGGCAGGCCTTATTTCAGATCTTCCATAAAGGGAAATGCTTTCTTTGTGATACCAGGAAAGGAGAAAAGAAAAGAAAATTGAAATGCATTTGATTTATTAACTTGTGAATACATGTGAATAAATGATAACTCTATCTCTCGTCCCTAATTATTCTCTTGCGGTGAGGACTAGTGAAGGAATCAAATATTTGTTTGTGGGCAGATAGTGTCACTTTTCCATTGTATATGCATATCTAATAATCATGTAGAGTCTCTAGAACAAGGGAGCTAACATTGAGTAACTGCTTACGTGCCACGTACTGTGCTAAATGCTTTACCTATGCTATTTCACTTAATCCCTCCAACAATTCTTAAGCTAGTTGTAATGTTCTACATTTTGTAAATTAAAAGAAAATGCCTCAGAAAAGTTTGCACACAGTAAATGACAGTAAATAGCATAGCGACACTCAACAGTGCACATATTTAGGATTGAGACTCGGGTAAACCATAACCTCAAACATCATGCTTTTCCATGTGGTCATCCCTGCTCACGTTCTTCGCTTTTAACCTACCTACTTCTGGTGCATAAGATCTGATATTTCAACTGTGTGGTCAGAAGAAAGGCTTGAAGCTCAGACCTAAACCTGAATGTGCAAATTAATATTAATTTTTCAAAGTTGTTCTGAGGAGCAAATGAGCACGTGTGAAAACCACTGAGCAAAGAAACCCTCAATAAAGATGATCATCTTTCTCCCAGCTCTTCATTACTTCTCAAAAAGGTATCAAAATCTAACAAGATGCATCACTACTTTGCTAAGTTTTCCTTTATAAAATACATGGAACCCAGGGAAACTATTCTAGAGACTATCATCTCCTAGATATTACTCAGGAATATCTCTTTATGTAGTGTTTCCCAAACTTCAGCCCTTTCTTTGTGACAACTGCCCCTATTTTCTATCTATGCTATCATTTACTGAGCATTTTTCTTTAAGCCAAATCATCGTTTTTACTTAACTCAATTTATTTTTTAATGTTTATTTATTTTTGAGAGAGACAGAGACAGACCATGAGTGGGGCAGGGGCAGAGAGAGAGGGAGACAGAATCTGAAGTGGGCTGCAGGCTCTGAACTGTCAGCACAGAGCCTGATGCAGGGCTTGAACTCACAAACCACGTGATCATGACCTAAGCCAAAGTCAGACACTTAACCAACTAAGCCACCCAGGTGCCCCTTAACTCAATTTATTTTAAAATACAACTTAATTTCAATACTATAAATAGAAAATTAATATTTCATACCATAAATAGAAATCAATCATAAAAATAAATAGCTATTGGAGTTGGACACTATGGTCTGTAGAAAACTGAACCTGAGGGCTGCACCATCTATTACAAAGTGTTAGAAAGATGTTAAGACTAGCTTTTGGCTGAGATTTTCTCCTTGATGTATTCACACAAGGTTTGAGAAAGAATTCAGTTTGAGATTGAAAAGCAATTCAGTTTCTCACAATGTGATTCAATATTGTTTAATGCCTGTCCAAGCCATGAAGAATAATTGAGGTACTTACCATATTTGCTGCATGTTTTGGCAAACACTCCCCAAAAGTGGGGCATTTTGTGTTCTGTCAGAAGATTGTACAAGAATCAACAGTGAAATACCAGGAAGCTAGTACTTCCTTCTAGTATAGACAGGCGAAAGTGAACATTCACATATGAGTCAGTTGGTATCTACTGAGTTCTCTCTGTAGGTTGTTACTAAGAAAACACAAGTTCACTTCCCTCAGTAGTTTAATGTGAAATTGTGCTTCTTTCCTGATCACTGGCACTATTGGAGAGGTAAAAGTTTACTGAAAATAGGGTAACAATGCCTGAGGCTGCAGTCTCACTGTTCACAGGAATCCTTCTAAAAGTAGATAAAGCATTCTTTTGTTTTGCTTTGTACCTCTCAATCCCCACACCTATTTTGCCCATTCCCCATTCCTGTCCTCTCTGCAAACTACCAATTGTTCTCTGTGTTTAGGCATCTGTTTCTGTTTGTTTGCTCATTTGTTTTGTTTTTTAACTTCCACATGTGTCTTTGTCTGATCTATTCTACTTAGCATAATACCCTCTAAGTCCATCTATGTTGTTGCAAATGGCATTCTTTTTTATGGCCGAGTAATTCCATTGTGTGTGTGTGTGTGTGTGTGTGTGTGTGTGTGTGTACAACTTCTTTATCCATTCATCTATTGAAGGACATTTGGGTTACTTCCATATCTTGGTTATTGTAAATATGCTGCAATGAACATAGGGCTGCATAGATCTTTTCAAATTAATGTTTTTGTTTTCTTTGGGTAAAGTAATGGAATCACTAGATCATATGCAATTTCTAATTTTAATTTTTAAGGAAACTCCTTAATGTTTTCCACACTGGTTGCACCAATTTACATTCTCAGCAGTGCAACATGAGGGGTCCCTTTTCTCCACATTCTTGCCAACACTTGCTATTTCTTGTCTTTTTGGTACCAGCCATTCTAATGGTGTGAGGTAATCTCTCACTGTGGTTTTGATTTGCATGTCCCTGATGATGCGTGATGTTGAGCATCTTTTCATGTACCTGTTGGCACCTGTATGTTTTCTTTGGAAAAATATACAAGTTCCCTGCCCATTTTTGATTTAATTAATTGGGGGGAGGGGGTTGGTGTTGAGTTGTATAAATTCTTTATATATATTAGATATTAGCCCCTTATCAGATATATCATTTGCAAATGACTTCTCCCATTCAATAGGTTGCTTCTTTGTTTTGTTGATCGTTTCCTCTGTTGTGCAAAGCTTTTTATTTTGGTATAGTCCCTATAGTTTGTTTTTGCTTTTGTTTACCTTGCCAGAGGAGATATGTCCAGAAAAATGTTCCTAAGACTTGTCCAGAAGATTAGTGCCTATGTTGAAACTCTTATGGTTCCAAGCTTCACATTCAGGTCTTTAATCCATTTTTTAAGGTTTATTTATTTATTTTGAGAGAGAGAGAGCATGAGCACATGTGCACACATGGGGGAGAGCCAAAGAGAGAAGGAGTGAGAGGGAATCCAAAGCAGGCACCATGTTCATCGTGGAGTCCATTGTGGGGCTTGATCTCATGACCACAAGATCATGTCCTGAGCTGATATCGAGTCAGACACTCGAGCAACTGAGCTACTCAGGCACTCCAGGTCTTTAATCCATATTTAATTTATTTTTGTGTACGATGTAAGAAAGCGGTCCAGTTTCATTCTTTTGCATGTAGCCATCTAGTTTGTCCAACAGCCTTTATGAGACTTTGTCTCAAAAAAGGGACTGTCTTTTCCCCATTGTATATTCTTGTCTCTTTTTTGGTAGATTAATTGATCATACAAGTATGGGTTTCTTTCTGGGCTCTCTATCCTGTTCCATTGGTCCAAGTGTCTATTTTTGTGCTCATACCAAAATGTTTTGATTGTTATAGTTATGTAGTATATTTTGAAATCTAGAATTGTGATACCTTCAGCTTTGTTCTTCTTCCTCAAGATTGCTTTGGATAACAAATTCTTTATCCAGAATAATTAGACCATAGTAATTTTGTATAAAATGCATTTAGCTGATAGGTTATGTTATGCTCAGTACTTCTATCTATGGGTAACAAGCTGTTTACTTATGATGCATTTATGGTAATTATGTAAACTGCAATTTCCATAGCAATCCCATTTCTCTCATATTTTCCCCACAAATTATTGAAATGATTCTAGTATATTAACATCCAAACTGCATCATACACAGAAGGAAATTAAAGATCCCTTGTGAGTATGTATACCAATATATGGTTTATAAAATACAACCTCACTTTTTGTATAATCTGACCAATTTTAAATTTTATTTATTTATTTTGAGAGAGAGAGAGAGTGCATGAGCTGGGGAGGGGCAGAAAGAGAGGGAGAGAGAGAATCTCAAGCAGGCTCTACACCATCAGCACAGAGCCTAACATGGGGCTTGAACCCACAAACTGTGAAGCATACCTGATCAGAAATCAAGAATCAGATACCTAACCAACTGAGCTACCCAGATGCCCCTAAATTAACCAATTTTAAAAGGAAAAAATGAGGCAATAAATTGAAGCTATTTTTCTATACCTATCTAGTTATCAGCACTAAAGTTTAATGAGCACCTAGTCTATTCAGACTAAAAAAATAATTATTAAAGCTTAAATTTGGAAAGGGACCTTGAAAGACACCTAGCAAGTTCTTTACAGGTGACAATGACTAAAAAACTAAGTCCAGAGGAGGTGACAGTGCCAAAACCAGACTTCTCAGCCCCTCACCTCCATAAAAATAGAAAAAAAAAAAAAAAAAAGGAAGAAACAGATACCACTATAGAAATAGCAATTCCACTTTTCTGAAGATGTGAGTAAGTATCACACAATATCCTAGATTGATGCTCTTGTTAAATAATCACATGTAATTAAACCATAGAAAAACGTGGTAGAGTATCTATGTTATATCAGGATACATATTAATCAAGACATAAATTGTTAAGCATCAATTACAAATATATATAAAAGCATATTAAATTGGTTTTTCTAAAATAAAATGTGCTTTTATAAATTTAAAATAATGTGATCACTGCGGAAGGTGCATGATTTTCATCACAATGTCCGTAACTATGGGCCGTGTGCTCAGCGTGCAGGTGAGGCCACAAACACAAAGGTCCACTGCATTTTCAAATTAATCACATACGTGACCAGATGTGCCCTCCTGAGTTGTACAAATAAATCATAAATACCTCCCAAAACTAAAGAATGTGGTTTGCAGAGTCCAGGATTCAAAAATATTATGCAAATATAATAATAATAAAATAAATGTACCAGAGTAAAAAATGGACAGGATATATAACTCTCAGTAAATCAGGCTTTTTCTCTGTGGCATTAAAAAAAAAAAATCTGAAGGTGTCTTTCTCAAAGAGATCTAAAAATTAACTCTACCATAACACTCTTAGTGACCAAATTGGACAACAAGTAGGATATTCAGCCGCAGGAATGTTGTCTCCTAGCAACCACAAGAGTGAGAGCCAGAGATATACAAAGGCATACTTCAAAAGTCTGCAACCCCATGAGTTCAAAGATCAAAGTCCTAAAATTTAAAGATTTATTCCTTTTTTTTCCACGAATTTTCCAAATGAAAAAACTTTTACTTTCCCCACTCTAAGACATCAATAATGAATCTCAATACTTAGAAACCATGCTACTGTGGTAAAAGTATGTTATGGTGTACCTTGAAAAGCAAAACTACATTTCCTGAAATAAATATAACCAATCACTAAACATTCCTTATTGCCAAATTCACTAAAACTGAAACCACATGGAATTGGGACTGTGAGTTATCAGGGCTTTACTGTTGATTTAAATTCTACTTTTATTAAAGGACAAAAGAGATTCCAGTCGGCTGATGAAAGTTGGGTTATTTGGAATTGCAAAGCAGTATCAGCTTAAGGAGGCTCTGCCATATAGACTCAGTGATTACATTTCATAAAAGAGATTGGGAACTGACAGAAAGAGAACTTTACTGTCTCTAATAGTTGCTAAACATAGGAATGAGGTTGAGAGAAATTTTTGGAGTCTTTTTTTTTTAATTTTAAGAGAATACAATGACCTCAGACATTTTTGGTCTGCATTCACCCACCAAAACAAACACATCAGTCATCATTAGTCCATCTCTTTTTAAGAATGACAATTACCTAAAGAGATAGGTTATACAAAGGTTGCTGGACTAACATAGACAATGGTGTGATTATGTCTTGCTGTCTGTATAAAATTAAATGCTTTTTAATGCAGTGATACCTTTCACAATTACCAGTTATTATAGTACTATGCTTATTAAAAAAAAAAAAAAGCCTTACTCTCATAGGGAAATGGAGCTGTACTACCTATGTCCTAAAGGGACGTGAAAAATAATGATGTAAACTATCACTTAATCAAACGCATTTTATTCTCCATTAAAATCTTCATGTGTGAACCTCTATGCTTTTAAAAGCAAAATGACCAGAAATTAATTTTTAGATGCCAAATGTACATGTAGAAACACTTTGGTTAACAAAACATATCTACTCCAATACTATCTAAGTAAGTTTTTAACTGATCATCTTCTGTATTTTAGCCTATGTAACTGCTCTTTTCTCCCCTTCTATAACTTGTCTATTTTTATATGAACTCCAGAAACAGGTAACAATGTTTTAGTAATATGGTGGTTTTCTGGTAGATTTTATTGTATTTTGTGGATATTTACTGGTCTTGTATTAATTAGTTTTAGATTTAGTACTATGTTTTCTAAATGCAAAATATTCTTGAAAATATATTATTTTTTGAAATCACCCTCTCTTCCAAGAAACATGCTTTTTAAAAGGTAGTTCCATTTTATGAACAAAATTAATTAATTTTATTTGATTCTTAGCTATTTCAAGCTATGCATGATTTTACTCAGCATATTACCAAGGTCCTGTCTAGTAAGTGGGCTTAAATCAGTGGGTACCCTAATGCCACGATACAGGTATTTTCTTGCATACTTGGCTAAATCACTTATTAGAAGGTTGAAGGGTGCTAATGACACAAGTGGTGGTGTGCCCACCACTTCTTTATCGGGAGTCTTTGTGTCTCTCTCCATTTTTGTACTCTGTTACTTCAACAGCATTTTCTTCTCTTTCTTCTACTCTTCTATCATTACTATAAATTGGATGGTCGTACCTGCTTTCATGTCAACATATGTTGCCCTCCGTACCTGTGATAGCACATGGCAGTGGCTTGACAAAGGTTCACATTGGTCTTGCTTATCAGCGCAGCTTGTCTAAAATCCTGAAACAGTTTTACGGGTTTTTGTTAATTTTGCAACATTATCTTCTGTGCTTTCTTATACTTCCTTCTAACTTTGGTTCTACTATGAACATACTTAACAAAAGCATTGAAAATATACATCTTCTGGGGCGCCTGAGTGGCTCAGTTGGTTAAGCTTCTGACTTTGGCTCAGGTCATGATCTCGTCTGTAGGTTTGAGCCCCGCGTCTGGCTCTGTGCTGACAGCTCAGAGTCTGGAGCCTGCTTGGGATTCTGTGTCTCCCACTCTCTCTGCTTCTCTCTCTCTCTCTCTCTCTCTCTCTCTCTCTCACACACACACACACACACCTTCCTAAAACTTTTTTTTCCCTTTTAGTTTCATAGCTAGTGAGAATGGATGGAGCAGAGGAAACCCATACTGAAAACTCACTCAGAATCTTATGTTACTGGTCTTATGGTTTTGCCCTGATGTGTGTAAGGAGGCATTTCATTTGCTTTCTTTTTACTGTTGTTTGCTTTTGTTTTGTTTTGTTTTCTGAGTGCACATCACCAGATATTTCCCTATCTAGATAGAAAGAGAAATTCACTTGGAGACAAACTTTGGCATTACATGTCTATAAGGCAAGCAGACACTCAGGCCCCGTTAAAGCATATAACTGGGCTTTTTGTGTGGATTGGCTAAGGCTGCTCTTACCTTTGGAATCCACACTTCTGGGAAGAAGTGTATTATTTTGTCCAGGAATCCTAGAAGCCTCCTGAGAGGGAGTAATGTAAACTCTAACCCCATGATTTTTAGTTAGGGAAGTCAGCTCAGATAGACCTGAATGACCCTGGGGAAGAGGTTGTTAAGAGAATTAAAAGTGCTGGGTCTGCAAGAGGTCCTGACTCTGTGGCCCTAACATCATCCTCTGTTAGACGCTGGAGAGGGACTAAGCTTAACAGATGGTCTCCCTCTCCTTCTCTCTTCCCCCTTTTTCATCTCCTCCCCATCTTTCTTCCACAATCCTTCTACAGACAAGATCATGACCTGTGCCAGAGGGAGGAAGCTAGGTGTCTTGTGGGGATAGAATGAGTTGTCTGAAAATATGGGGACGAAAGACAGAGTAGTGGGTGAAATGAGCATTCTGCAATCCTATGGGGGGAGGAAGGCATTAGTCACTGAGACCAGTCTGTGAATGTGGATTACCCACTTATATTCCTGAAGTATATTTTGACACTAAATGGAAACATTTGGGAGAAAATAAGAAAGTTATTGTCTAATCAAATATTATCTAATCAAATATGCTGCTAGCTAACTCCTCTAGAAGGATTGTTTGGCTAAAATAGAGGCAGATTTGTAAGTGAGATTTGTTGCAAACATTCTTATTAATTTGAGGAGTTGTGGGGAGTGATCATAAACTTAACAGGCTGAGAATACCAAGTTCCATTTTGTAATCATATAAAATTTATAAATGTCAACCTGACTTTATATATATAACCATTATTATACTATATAGTAATTAGGCATATAGACATAAATGATGACTGTTAGCATTACTTAAAATAAACCTAACAGCATTTGTATTCTTTTTCTCATCTGCATTAATCTTTTCTCTAATATGGAGATCATAAATAACAAACCACACCAAGTCATTCATAAACAAAGCAAAGTCCCAGTTCTCATTCCCTCCACTGATGAGTTTATTTGTAAACTCACCCACACTCCCTTGCTTTCTGTGTCAAAGGGTGGGCCGGGACCTCATTCTCTCTTGTCTCCTCTGAATATGTGCTCCATCATAGTCCTGTTGTTTTCTGTATCTTTAATACTTGTCTCCACCCTAAAGTGCCTTCCCTCAATCCTCTCGCCCGCCAACTACACATGGCCTTATCACTCTAGTTCCTGTCCTTGCAAGAATATCTTCAAAGCATGGTCAAAACTAATGACCGCCATGTCTCCACATTCCCTCAACTTTTTCTTGCTGTTTAATAAGACCAATTTTATTTTGTAATTTGTGATCTGCCTTTAAAGATATTTGTTATTTATTTATTTTCATTCTTATCAAAGTGACTCGTATACAGTGTATAGGGTCTAATAAAACTAGAAAACTTGCAAATCTTACAGTGACTCCTTGCTCCCCCTTTCCTTACCTGATTCTCACTCCCCAGAGGCAGTTGTTTTTACAGCTTGCTGTTTTTTGTTTTTGCTATTTACTTTCCAATTTCTAAATAACATGAGTATCGTATCCTGTTTAACTTCCGCCATAGGATAATGCTTAGCTATCTTACACCACCGCACCAGGCTGCACCTCACTCCTCCTGACACCATTCCATATACTTATGGCCATGCATTTGCTTGTTTTACTCTCTGTTTTACTTCACCAAATTGTAGGATTCTTGGCTACTTATTTATTTTTAGGTTTGGGGTATTAAAATCTTGAGTAGTAGTTTTGGGTGCCATGAACAGCTCTTCTCCACTATCTTGAACTTTGGGGAATTATACATTTTTTATTTCTTTACTGTCTTCCTGGTAAGTTTTCAAAAGGACAAAGGGATAAACAAATGTTCTCAATCCAACCAGCTTAACTATTAACTTCCTAAACAATGCCAGTCTAAATGCTGCATTCTACTTCCTGGTCAACATGTTCTTATGAAGGTTTTCCAGCTTTCAATTAACTAATAGGTTTTCAGTACTCATTCTACTTAACCTCACTACTAATCGACCACTCCCACTAAAAATTTTTCCCTAAGCAGTTTTAAGACTGCTTTCTCTTCTTTGTTTTTTGTTTGTTCATTTGTTTTTATCTAGCCCTCTTATTATTAAGTCTTATATAGTTTCACTGGGTTTTTTTTCAACTTGCATTTTTTTAATAGAATTTTTTACACTACATTAAAAAAATATTTTTTTTTACTTTTAATTAGTGTTTTCAGAGCAAGCTTTTTCCTATACTTTTACCTATCTATATCATTTAGAGTATATTTCCTATAGCCAGAATATAGTTGGGGGTATTTAAAAATTTCAATCTGACATTCTCATTATTTTAATTGGTATATTTGGACCATTTCTATTTAATGTATTACAGATATGATTAGATTTAGGTCTACCATTTTATTATTTGTTTTCTGCTCTTTTCTCTATTTTCTGTCTCTTTGTTTTCCTTTTCCAGACTTATTTTGATTTATTTTAATTTTTTAAACATTAAATTAATCTATGGTCTTTTTGACTAAGAAGGCCACATTAGGGGAGAAACTAAATGGAGGGTAGGTACCACAGACAGATCAGTGGGAAGAGTGTTCTGTGCTTGCTTAGGGAACAGCTTGTGTGAGGACTCTGAGACAGGAAGGGAGCCTGGCATTTCTAAGGAATAGCAAAAGGCCAGAGTGGAATGACTTGAGTGAAGAAAAGAAGAGCATTTGACTATGAAGTCAGATCAATGGGCAACAGTCAGACCATGTAGGGTCTTGGCTGGCCATCATCAAGGATTCATATTTTATTCTCAGTGTGATGGGAAGCCATTGGAAGATTTTGAAGAAAGAAATAACTTATCTTCTTTACATTTTTAAGAGGTCTCTCTAGCTGTTGTGTAAAGAACAGCATGTAGAGGAACAAGAGCAAAAGCAGAAAGTCCAGTTAAAAAGCTACTAAAGTAGTCCACGGAAGAGATGTTTGGGCTTGAATTAGAAGGACAATAGTGGCAAAAATGAGAAGTGATGAATTCAAAATATGCTTTGACAGTACAGCTGACTGGACTTGTTCGTGAGTTAGATAAGGGGTAAAGAAAGAGAAGGGTCTAGAATGATTCCCATTAGACCATGAGGTCCTCAAGAACTGTAACTCTTGTCTTCATGATTCCCATGGCTTCAATGCCAATGCCAGTTACTTGCCTTTTCAGAGAAAACATAGGATTTGGAATCAACAAAGATCTGAGTTCAAATCTTGCCCCAGTACTTCTTAGCTGAAAGATTTTATTAAGTACTAAATAAATATGTACTTGCAGATAACATGGATCCTGTTTTAATTCTCCAACAGCTGAGGTACTTTGCTCCCAATCCCTATTGTCCTCACTTGTTCCACCCAACACTGTTGCCCTGAGTTCCAGAGCTTCCTTGCCTACTCCAAACAAATAAGTTCTTGAGCTCCACCTACCTGAGAGAACTCTGAATGGTGTATCTCAAAACCAAAACCTAAAGGAGTTCAAATCTTGAAACTGAATTTCATCACAGTATAAATTGCCTGGAATAAGGTTTCTCAGATGCATCCTTAACAATAAGTAATTCTATGCGGGCAGAATCTCAAAAGAGGACTGTCAGGCATAGAAATAATACAAGCCATGTCTGGAGGTGAAAACATTAGGGACCACTCCACTATGTAATATTCTGTTGTGGTTCTTCAGAAACAAAAGCAAAACTGCCATTATTTAACTACAACCCTCAAACTGCTATTTAATTTTTGCCTTGTATCAATTCCAAAATTAATTTAAAACAAAATACAAATAATATAAAAACGATAATGGTGAATTTTGTTTAATTATAACTAATAATAATTATTTAAAAAATTTTTAATGTTTATTTATTTTTGAGAGAGACAGAGACAGAGAGCAAGCAGGGAAGGGGCAGAGAGAGAGAGAGACATAGAATCTGAAGCAAGCTCCTGGCTGTCAGCATAGAGCCCAATGCAGAGCTCAAACTCATGAACCATGAGATTATGACCTGAGCTGAAGTCAGACACTTCACCTACTAAGCCATCCAGGTGCCCCAATAATTAATTATTAAAATACATTTTTTTTAAATGTTTTTTTTTTATTTATTTCTAGGAGAGAGAGAGAGAGAGACAGCGTGAGCAGGGGAGGGTCAGAGAGAGAGGGAGTCACAGACTGAAACAGGCTCCAGGCTCTGAGCTGGCAGTCAGCACAGAGCCCGACGCGGGGCTCGAACCCACGAACCGCGAGATCATGACCCAAGCGAAAGTCGGACGCTTAACCGACTAAGCCACCCAGGCGCCCCTATTAAAATACATTTTAAACCACCTGTTTCTCTTCTGATACACTACAGATGCTATCTTCCATTGCAATTCTGAGTGCCTGATTCCACTAACTTAAAAGTCTACTCCTAGTGGCCTATTTTGAGCAGGTATTTTCCACCTTAAACAAAACATATTTATTTTGCTATATTGCCAATGAAGAATGAGAAAAGTTGTGAATGAGAAAGAATTAGCACTGAGCAGTAAATTAAATCAATACGTAAATCATTCTATTTGCCAAATAATTGAGTTTTATGTGTAGTCAAGATCATTCTGGGGGTGGGGGGGGAGGTGAGTGCCTTGATATTTCATCAAATCAGAAACATTTTTTTTACATATCAGTTATTTACCTGTAATCAAAACAAAATAAAATACATTATTTCTTGGCAAAGGTTCTATTATTCATTCAAAGTACTTCAGTACATTCCTGCTAAAGTTGTTATTGGTCATTAATATTGCCATTTGATACCAAAAGAAACTTGTTCACTAGTTTTCAGAACAGAACATGCAAAATCAAGTAGGTTCTTTTTTTTACAAGGAAACAAGGTTTACCTCCAATGCAAAAGTATACTGCTCTAACTCTATGTAGATGAGTCCACGATTGATGAAGGTATTTAACTTCACAGTTTCTCCAGCATCAAGAAGCAGCACAATTCCATAATCTGTTAATGCCTAAAAATAAAATAACCACTTACAACCTAGAGCTAACTCTGGAGCCTTACTACATTGCCTATGAACAAATGCATTCATGCCCAAACTAGGACCTCACATCAGGTCTAATGTGACTTACATTAATGGTCAAAAATGATCGTTTAGATTTAAAGGGTCCCCTTAACTAAATATTATAGATACTGCTATGCTTTAATAAATAGTCCACACTGTGCTCACTTTTCACATGTTATCTGTGAATCATGTTAAGCATTTTTACTGTGTATGGTTTGGGAGGAAGGAATGCAACACCCTTCCCCCACCTCAGTAGTTTCATCAAATGACTACTGACATGAAAGCAGAGCACTTGCTATCTTTTAAAATTTAATTTCTTTTTAGTGTTTTATTTTTTTCTTCACTGAAACCTAAGTTTTATGGTGGCAAGGCTTATCTATTTTGTTCACCATTGTAAAGCCAGTAACTAGTTCAGTGCCTGTACATAACAGGAATTAGATAAATTTTTGTTGAGTAAATCATGAATCAATATCAATAGATTTTAATACACTAACAAATAATCATTCTTTTGACAAGCACTTTGATAAGCATACTCATGTTTTGTAAGACATTAGTCTAAACTGAAATGATCAACTCATAGGACCTTTCTCCATTATTTTAATCTTTATTATTATTATTATTAACCGACTAAATGAGTTTTTACTGGTCATCTACTCTATACCAGGTACTAGGAATATCCCCAATTTGTACTGGAGCTAAACCTCTTCATTCATTTTCCTGCTGAATATTTTGTCAAAAAAAAGCCATATGGTTTCATCAGAAAAGGGCCAAACTTTATATGCTTGTAGCACATACTAACTGAAAATGCAAATAAGTATTATTTTGCTATTTCCTCATTGGACCTTCTCTAGTGTATCATTGCTAGGCACTCATATATCTAAAAGAACTGTATAATTAAAGATCCTATATGTTCACAGTGACATAATTATCAGTGGACCTATGCCAGGGCTGTAAAAATAATTCATAATACTTATAAAACAAAAACAAAACTAGACTGTTAGCAGTTTTCCTTTCACAGAATAACAGAATGTAAAATCTGTAAGAAGCCTTAGGGATCCACTAAGCAGCTGAATATGTGACACAAGAGGAAATAAAAGCTGGGAAATGAGATTTCATGAAGGTCAATGAGCAGGATTTGGATCATGCTTCTGCTATTATTACTTAGCTTTTCAGTCTTGGGAAAATTGCTTAACACTAAGCCTCAGTTTCTTCATCTGCAAAATTGGGATATTAATAATTTATCATATTGTTGTTGTAAAAGTCCACTTAAAAATATTTCGATTTTATGTTGGTAAAGCATTTAGCCCTGTGCTGGTCACCCAATAAGCCCCAAGTAAGTGGTAACTGTTATTTATATTAATATATGATGGTAGAAAGTGGAATTCACCTTTTCTTAAATTTTTTTCCAAGTATATCTTGGAAGAATGCCTAAGTGCATTTTCTATGGAAAGATACTTGGGTTTTCTCAGTCTAGTGATGGCAGGAATGCTGAGAAACAGGGAGGTAGACAAATAGGGAGGAGGTGACACTGTTAAATGACATCCGGTCCACATGCTGGATGTCAGATGCTTTTACAAAGCCACCTGAAGACTGTTAACCAGAAGCAAACAACCCTGTGAATACCAGTGCAGGTCTCGACTCTCTCTGGGACTTGGATGTGTTTCTAACTTCTCCCTACTTCCATTTCCTCCTCTGTAAAATGACTCAGTTGGATGAAATGTGTGTTGGGTACATAGCAGCTTTAAAATAACCAAAATGTTATTATCCCAAAAATGTTATTATCCCAGTTAGGTCTCTAGGTAGTTTTTCATTTTCCCCATTCATAGAACACTGACTTTGTTACATATCAGAGATAACAAAACTGGGAGTTCCCTGCCCCCACCTAGCCCATTGTTCATGGCTTCAGAGTTACCCAGAAAAGGCAGGTAAGGGGGTGGGGAGGGAGCTGTCAAAGACACCTGCTACGCAGGTTACTCTGATAAACGATCCTTTAATTAGCTCTTAGAATCTTAACAACTCCTTTGTTAAAAATTAGTTATTCATTTGTCAACATTTCTGGAGGAAACTTGATGGACTGGTTACCAGGAATTCTGCAGTCTCTTAGGAAAAAAACTTGTTCTCAACTTTTTCCCTTCCATAGCAAATAAGTTTTAAATCCCCAAACGTTTTAAACAGATTTAACTGTCCAAATTTCAAGATTGGAGGAGTGTATCCACACAGAACAGCAGGAATGTGATGTAGTTTTTTAAAGGAATGCTTCACTGACTATGGACGTAGAGAGAAATAAAGGAAGACAAGCAGGCAACAGAGAAAGGGAAGCAAGAAGATGGGACAGAACACTAAGAGACTGAGACCAGCTGGCCAGTGAGAAATCTCAACTGGAAAACAACCAAACCTACAAGGGTGGGGAAGAGAGGGGTACGAGTAGAAAATGTAAAAGCGGGCTTGCACAGGTTGAAAATGGATATGACAAATAGAGGAAAAGGTTTACTGCAGCCTTCAGTTACAGCTTCATAATAAATACACAGGCAATACTGGCCATTGGTCCCAGGCTTGGAAACCATCATTCAAAACGTCCTGCTGTGTCTGTGGTCTGAGCACTGTACAAAAACAAAAACAAATGGAGAAGAAGGGGGAAATAGAGAAGGAGAGGGAGGGAGGCAAACCATGAGAGACTCTTGAATGCTGAGAACAAACTGAGGACTGGTGGGGGGTGGGGAGAGGGGAAGGTGGGGTGATGGGCATGGAGGAGGGCACTTGTGGGGATGAGCACTGGGTGTTATATGGAAACTAACTTGACAATAAACTACCTAAAAAAACAAAAACAAGAAAAGAAAAAAAAAACCCACCCTGACAAACTGTTCTAGCTAATGCTGAGATTTTAAAGCAACAATATTGTTAGTGATCACTGGTTACAAATTCTGCAAGCCATGTATCCGTAGAAACATTTACTCAAATGAAAATTATGCAATATATTTTAATTTATAAGTGCCTTTAAATGCTTATATAAGCATTGTAAAATTTATATTCGCTTGACATTGCAGAGATTGGTATGAAAATATCTGGTGAGGACCAACAAAAACATTAAATATTCTTTGAAATGGTTCTCTGGTTTCTCAAGTATGTGTGTGTGTGTGTGTGTATTTCCATAGGAATTATTTTTCAAAATTATAACAGAAATAAGAAGACAATGTTTTACACATGCTTTAAATGTGTTTACAAATGTCTTAACATGTTGTTTACTATAATGGTCATCTTACCATTCGAAGTTCATTTATCTTGGTATAACATAATGCTCTGTTATAAAATGCTATGTAACTGCTTTTGTCCATGTTGATAGCTATAGTTAAATCTGTAATCGCTAGCTTATAAGTCTACAAAAAAATAATTAGATAACAAGGGTTAATCATAATGGAATGAAATTTAATTGTAAAATAAGTTCTTGATTCTATCAGATTTTTCAGAAGACTCATTTAACTATTCTGCATATCATCTGAAATTAAGACAATTAAGCTAATCTTTCACAGAGTTAATTAAGATCTTTTGGTAGGAATTATTATAATAATGTTTCTCCTACCTTCAAATAAAATTCAATATACAAACAACTTTAATTTAGATGATTATCTTATTGCCAATGTTGCTATAAAGCAAAAAGAAAATTATACTTCTTATTAGTAAAAGAGAAATAAGCCATATTCATCCAGCAAATATTCACCAGAGCTTGCTTCTGTCACTCTTACCGTTAGATCACATAATCGCCATGTTTCCTACTCATGTTCTTCTTCACTCTCTTTGATGCTTTCCTGATACCTTAGATCACTCATTTCTATAGGTAGTAATTTTCATAGAATTAACATGTAATACAAGGTCTTACCTTTGCTTTCAGGCATTATTTGCAAAGTATTTCATATGAAATAGTTACAAAGAAAGGTCAGAAAAGAAAAGTAGGGAGAAACAAAGTATTCCATGAATTATCAGATATCAATGGTGCTACTCACACCCTTTGATCCAGTAATTTCCACGTAAGAATCAATCATAAACTCAAGCAATGACTTTGTTCTCAGTGTAACTATATGAAGATGGTAATATAGTAAAATAGCAAAATTTATAAAACAACCGAAATGTCCAACAATAAAGTGATTAGAAATAAAGTATGGTAGAATATTATTCTGTTGTTAAAAATGGTATCCTCAAATATTTTGAAAAGCAAGGCAAAACAAATTTATAAGTAGCATAATCCTACCTTTGGAATATATATATATATTCAGGGGAAAAAAAGACTAAATGTAAATACACCAAAATGCTCTCAGGAATTTTCATTTAATGGTGGGGATAGTAGGTGATTTTAATCTTTCCCTTTGTTCTCCTGTGTACTTTCCAAATTCTCTATAATGAATATATACTACTTTCTTAAACAGATAAATAATAAGTACTATTCAAAATATAAATGTCAAAAATAAATATTATTTTGTGAAAAAAGTATAAAGTGTTCTACGCAGTTCTGTACTTTAGACCTCTGCAAGTCTCCTCTCACAGAGAAAAAAAGGAAGCAAGTCACACTTGGCATTAGAGCACTCTCAAATCTCAGTTAACAAGGCAGGAAACGACCCTACCTTGTTGTAGTATTTCAGGACTCCTCTGTAGATATAGGCACGCACACTCTGAGGATAAATTTTGATGGCCTCATTACAATTCAAAATTGCTTTGGAGTATCTGCCTTTTAAACCATAGAAGGCTACTCGGCTTAAATATGCCTTTTCAGAGAAAAAGCAGAGGAAAGCAAGAATGGAAATTTTAGTAAAAGCATCAATTCCCCCAACATACTGAATAGTTTGAACAAATCCATGCCATCCCAAAGAAGATATAAAATATAGCCTTTTTCCCCCACTTTCTTTTAATTGAAAATATTTCAAATATATAGATAGATTGGAAAAAATAGTACAATGAAGATCATATGACCACCATCTAGATTCATTAATTATTATTTTGTAATACTTTTTGTATCTATTTTTTCTGAATTATTTGAAAATAAGTTGTAGACATCATAATACTTCACCCCCAGTCTTTCCATTATGCAAACATTCTCCTACATAAGCACACTACCGCTACATATCTAAGAAAATTAATAGTTATTTCCCTAAAATCATCTAATATTTAGTCCATATTCAAATTTCATAGGCTTTTAAAATCAAGATCCAATTTAGTTTCATCTATTGAGTTTTGTGTTGTCTCAGTCTCTTAAAAGGCAGGAATAAATGTGATAGCAAAACAAGAAGAAAATAAAATTAATAACAGTATATAAAATTCTAATTATTTCTAGGTATAGTAAAATCCTAACAATACCTACAAACATCACAATTCAGAAAGCACCTTTACATATAAAATATCACTGTTGGAAATAAAACTTTTAGTTCAAAGGGAAATACAGATATATGGATTATCAAAACACAGTTGGCTAAAAATTAGGTATAAGCAGGGGCGCCTGGGTGGCTTAGTTGGTTAAGCGTCCGACTTTCACTTGGGTCATGATCTCGCGGTTCGTGGGTTCGAGCCCCGCGTCGGGCTCTGTGCTGACTGCCAGCTCGGAGCCTGGAGCCTGTTTCAGTCTGTGACTCCCTCTCTCTCTGACCCTCCCCTGCTCACACTGTCTCTCTCTCTCCTGGAAATAAATAAAAATATTAAAAAAAAAAAAAAAAAAATTAGGTATAAGCAACTGACTCTTGCTAACTAATAACAATGATATATAAAGGCTTGAATAGTTTTAGCAAATTTAACACAGTCTCCAAATCACTGTTGTTCATTTAAATACCTGGTAATGTTTTGGATTGATGGTAATTGCACGATTAAAATCCAGGACCGAGCCATCCTTGTGAAGTTTTACTTTACAAAGCCCACGCTGATAAAAGCCTTCTGCAAAGTCAGGATTTGCTTTCACAGCTTTTGTAAAACAATCAAAAGCCTAGGAAAGTACATTATTAAAAAGAAAATCATTTAGTGAGTAGAATATATTAACTTAAAATGTTAATAAATTTCAGTGTATAACAATTATTTAAAAGTTTTCACTTATTTTTGGTCCTTTTAAATACATTTTCTCAGTGAAATTTGTGGAGAAGACAAAGGTAATATAAACAAGTCAGGTTTATTACTATAATTTACAGGTTTCTTTACTCCTAAACTGATGTCTACATAATCCATGTTGTTAGATAATAATACTTTTGGAGGTGTAGTTTTAATTGTTATTCTTCATATTGTGTTACTTCAAAGAAATCACAGACACTACATTTATTTTCTATGAAGGCCCAAGAACCATAGCAGATACATAGTTATGACATTTCTGAACAATGGAACTCTAAAATTTTCCCCAACATTGTAAAGCAAATGTTGGCTTGCTTTGGTTGTCCAAAAGGGCTAAAAACACAGAAAATATTTATAATTAATTTGATATTTATTGGAATTTCCTAATGTAACAACTCATCAAGTGTAACTCTTCTTCAAGTTTATGGAGATTCAAATTTCAAACACCGCCCACCCCCACAGAGACTGGAATGGTGTGTGTGTGTGTGTGTGTGTGTGTGTGTGTGTGTGTGTGTGTCTATGTCTGTGTGTAGAGAGATTGAGTTATGGAATATCCAACATTAGCCACTGTAAAATATCAATTATATTACTTACTTATCACATCATTGACAACTTTAAAATGGAGAATTATGCAAAACAGCCAAATGTTGGATTAATACAAAGTAACTAAGTCAACTGGCTTTCAATGAATCTGACCATCCTAATAACCAGTTTCAATCTGATATGAATTGTTCAGTTGTCAATAAGAGAAACTGGTGTCCTACTCATGTTCCAGTTATTCTACATTACTCTGAAGCACTTAATTTAAAGTACTTAACAATTTAACAAGTAAATTCATGTTAATGTGATGAAAATATTCCACTATAATAATTTCTTACAGTTAGATTTATTGTTTTGGTGGGAAACACACATTAGTCTTTGGAATACTGTTGACAAACCAGTATCAAATAAAATGTATTGAGTAAATAAAATGATATAGCAGGCATTACAGGGTGTAGACTGATTGTAATAACCCAACCTTTATAAGAAACTTTGGTCTAGTCAATCACTGTATAGGTAGCCTTCAGAAACAGAACTGCATGCAAGCAATCAATTTCTAAAATCACAAAGAACTGGGGCACCTGGGTGGCTTAGTCGGTTGAGCGTCCGACTTTCGTTTAGGTCATGATCTCGCAGTTCGTGGGTTCAAGCCCCGCGTCGGGCTCTGTGCTGACTGCCAGCCCAGAGCCTGGAGCCTATTTCGGAGTCTGTGTCTCCCTCTCTCTCTCTGACCCTCCCCTGCTCACGCTGTCTCTCTCTCTCTCTCTCTCTCCTAGAAATAAATTTAAAAAAAAAAATCACAAATAACCTAGCTCCTAAATACACAAAATACCATTTGTACGTTGTCTTCCTCCATGTAACAAAGACCCAGGTTATACAGACAGTCTGCTGAAGCTGCTACGGCATTTGGTCCTTTATCAGAATGAGAAAAGATATCCAACGCCTTTTTAAATATTCTCATAGCTTCCTAGAATGATTTAAAAACAAAACACACACACACACACGGAAAGGAATGTTTCTTTCTAATATTTATTTAACATGACAGCCTTAAACATTAAAAGGAATTCTAAGCACACAGCCCTACTCTCATGTCATATGCCTGGAAAGACACCAGCCTTGTCGGTGCACCACCAGCTTAGGACCCAGGCGGGGAGTCTGATGGCAGGGAATCCCACACCAACGTGTCTCTCCTACAATCTGTTCCTTAAGCAGACTTATAGATGTGCACTTCTGCAACTATAATTTCTAAATTCTTAAGGCTATTTTCTTGTAGTATAAAATCAGCTTAAATTTGTAGACTAGTTTATGACCAGTTTTTTAGTGATTATCCTGAAGAAATACTGGACAGTATTAGTAAAAGATTTCCAATGATAATATGTGATGTGGTTTTAATCGAACTTTATTTTGTCCTATGGTGCTCTTAATGGGAATCCACTGGCACCAGAAAATAAACTAACATAAAATAATCACCCACTTAGGGGCACCTGGGTGGCTCAGTCAGTTAAGTGTCTGACTCCTGATTTCAGCTCAGGTCGTGATCTCATATATCATGGGTTTGAGCCCCACATCAGGCTCTGCACTGTCAGCATGGATTCTGTGTGTGTGTGTGTGTGTGTGTGTGTGTGTGTGTGTGTCCCTCCCTCCCTCCCTCTCTCTCTCACTCCCTCTCAAAATGAATAAACTTTAAAATAAATCACCCATTTAAACTAGTCAAAATAGTTGAAATTTGTTAATGAAAAAAATTCAATTTTCCAGATAGAAATTACTTTTTATAATTAGCTAATAGATATATCTATATCTATATGGAAATACAAATACCTGTGATTCTTTAGACCATTTTCTTAATTATATTAAATTACTAAATAAACAATGAGATTTAGCTTGGATATGCTAAATGTCCTTTGTGCCCCCCACTTAAAGCATCTACTTCACATAAAACCTCCTCATTCTCAGCACATGATCTTGCCATAGAAAAAATACATCACCTTCTTTCTCCATTTCCCTCTGTTTTATTTTTCAATGCATCTATATATTCTTTCATTTCCATCTTTTTTCTCTTCTGTCTTTAAATGGTTTCTTTTCTTCTCCTTTTCAGAGCTAATTCCTCAAGCTGTGTCCTTGACCCCTACTCCTTCTACTCTGCCTGAACACAAGTTATTTCCTTCCTCTTCTGGATCACTGCCCTTTCACTGTGACTTTGAGTCCATAAAGTCTTCCATTCCATTTAAGTTAAAGGAAACACATCTTCACTTCCTCCTGCTTCCTCTCATAGCTAGCTGATGTCCTACCTGTCTCTTCACTATGAAAAGACTCCTGGAGAAGGTCTAGAGGGGCTCCCAAGTAAGGCACATTTACATTCTAAAAACAGTACTGCAGCTGTTGTGAGGATAAAAGCTCATAAGAATGCAACACTGATGGTATCATTCTAGCAAAATAAAAATATGTTCTGGATTAAGATAATGACCATAGAAATGAAGAAAGGAAATAGAACTGAGAGATATTTAGAAAGAATCAAGAGAACATCACTGTTGATTGGATAGAAGAAGGCAATCAAAGGTAACTCCAGATTTCTATAGAGCAATAAGTGTGGGGGAGGAGGTTAAAGTAAATGTAAGAGGGGCGCCTGGGTGGCTCAGTCAGTGAAGCATCTGACTTCGGCTAAGGTAAGGATCTAACAGCTCATGAGTCTGGGCCCTGCATTGGGCTCTGCAGACAGCTCAGAGTCCAGAGCCTACTTCAGATTCTGCCTCCGTCTCTCTCTGCCCTTGCCCCACTTGCACACTATCTCTCTCTCTCCCCTTCTCTCTCAAATATAAATGAAAATTTTAAAAATTTTTAAAAAGTAAATGTCAGAATATTCTCAGATCAAGTTCAATACCATAAAGGTGTCAATTCACCCTAAAATAGTCTAGAGATTTAATGCAATTCAGTGAAAATTCTGACAGAGTTTTTAATGGATCTTAACAAGCTAAATTTAAGATTTATATAGAGAATAAAGGAATAATACAGGGAGGGGCCAAGATGGTGGAGCAGCATGGAAGTTCTTGGTTTGTCTCATGCCTGAAATACAGCTAGATCAGCACCAAACCATTTTTGACACCTAGAAAATTGATCTGAGGATTAACACTACAATCTGCATAACTTGGTCCTAGAACTCAGCAGGTATGTGGTACAGAGAGGTGAACATGGGGAGAGAGAATTCGCAGAGGGTAGGGAACTGTTTTTGTGGGGAGAGGACAGAAAAAGAGGGGGGGAGAGCAGGAAAAGCACTCACCTGGAAGTAGCTGTGGAGAGAGATGGAGTGGAAACACCCACAAGGGACTAAACAAGAAAGGGAGAAAGGAGAAAGAAGAGGGTTTCAAAGCCATTAGGACTCTATAAAACAGTGGAGAACATAGTCAGAATTCCACATCGCTATATCTGCTGGTGCTCTAGTGGGAAAGGCGAATCCCCAGGATTCACAGTGAGGTCCAAGAGGTCTGTAGACCACGTGGGAGAAGTAGTTCCGCTGCTAGGAGGGCATTTAGCAGAGGCTATATGGCCTCCCCAAAGGTAAGTTCCCTCCAGAACCTGGAGAACAGCCACATTTGCTGGTATTAAAATGAAGATGCCAGGGTGCAGTGAAACCTAGCACCAGCTGTGTTATGATTTACCATAATCTTTGAACCTCTGCAGCTGCACAGTCGCATGAACTTTTCTGGGGCAAGTGGCCACTTGGCCACAATCTCTGAACCTCTACAACAGTGGGATTGCAAGAACATTCCCAGTGGGGGGCAAGGGGAACAAGCCAGCATCTGGCCATTGCCCCGTGAGACCTTCCCCAGAAGGTTGGAGGGGGTCCAAACCACAGGGCTCTCAGAAACACAGCCCCATAAGAGACATAATTCAGGAGGGAGATGCTGCCTGGCAGGCTGATGGCTTGGACACTGAGAGTGTAGAAACAGGACTGGACAGAAGTGAGAGACAAAGGAACAGTGCTTGACTGCCACTCAGGTAGAGCACAGAGTTCTGATGCTAGAGACTGGAAAGCTGGGTGATGTCTTTTTCACCTCTCTCACGCATGCACATACATGCACATGTGTACCCCACCAATCCATCCCAGTAAGCTAAGCAGTGCCACCTACTGGAGAATGGAGCCATTACACCAAGCCCAGTCCAACTGCACCAACCAAGTTCAGGCCCTAGAGGACCACCATTAGTTCTTTCCACCTGCTTAGTGTACACAATATAAAGTGCTTCCTACTTTGAATTCTAGGGGAAACTGTATGTAATTTCATTCCGATTTCATTCTGTTGGGTGGTCCATCTATTTGTCCTTTGATTTTTGTTTTTCTTTTGTTTTTCTTTTCTTATTCTTGGATACAGAAAGAGACAATTTCATTTTTATTTTCCAGGTTTTTAAAATTTTTAATGCTTTTTACTATATTTTTTATTTTATTTTAAAAATTTTTTTAAATGTTTCATTTATTTCTGAGAGAGAGAGTGAGGCAGCGTGAGCAGAGGAGGGTTAAAGAGAAAGGGAGACACAGAGTCGGAAGCAGGTTCCAGGCTCTGAGCTGTCAGCACAGAGAGCCTGACGCGGGACACGAACCAACGAACCGTGAGATCATGACCCGAGCTGAAGTTGGACACCTAGCTGACTGAGCCACCCAGGAGCCCCTATATATATTTTTATTTTTTATAAAATTTTAAATTCTATTTTACTTTCATTTCATTTTATACTATTTTATTGTATAATTTATTTTAAATTTTAAATGTTTTCTTTTTTCCTCTTTTCTTTTCTTTCCCTTTTTTTCTCTATCAAGCTTCGTTCAACAACCAAACCAAAACACACCTAGGCTTTAGCTTCCATTACTTGATTTTTTGTGTGTGTGTTAGTTTTCAATTTTTAATTTTAATTGTTAATTTTAATCTTTCTTCTTCCTCCAAAATGACAAAGTGAAGAAATTCACCCCAAAAGAAAGAACAGGAAGTTGGGGCACCTGTGTGGCTAGATGGTTACATGTCTGACTTTGGCTCAGGTCATGATCTCACAGTTCACGGGTTTGATCCCTGCATCTGGCTCTGTGCTGACAGCTCAGAGCTTGGAGCCTACTCTGGACTCTGTCTCCCTCTTTCTCTGCCCCTCCCCTGCTCTTGGTCTGTTTCTCTCTCTCTCAAAAATAAATAAGTGTTGAAAAAAAAATTTTTAAACAAAAAACAAAGAAAGAACAGGAAGAAATGACAGCCAGGGAGTTAACACAGATATAAGCAAGATGTCTGACCTAGAATTTGGAATCACAGTAATAAGAATATTAGCTTAGGTTGAAAAAAGCATAGAATCCTTTTTTTGTGGAAATAAGAGGTGAAATCTAGTCAGGACAAAATTTTAAATGCTATAACTGAGATGCAATCTTAAATGAATGCTACGTGGCAAGAATAGATGAAACAGAGCAATAAATCAGTGATATAGAAGACAAAATCATGGAGAATAATGACGCAGAAAAAAAGAGGAAAACTAAGGCAAAAGAGCACAATACAAGAATCAGAGAACTCAGTGACTTATTAAAAAGGAGTAACATCCAAATCACAGAAGCCCCAGAAGATGAAAAGAGAGAAAAAAGAGGAGAAGGTTTATGCAAGCAAATCATAGCAGAAAGTTTTCCTAACCTGGGGAAAAACACAGACATCAAAATCCAAGAAGCACAGAAAACTCCCAATAGATTCAACAAAAACCAACCATTAACAAGGTATATATCATAGTCAAATAACAAAATACACATACAAGGAAAGAATTATGAAAGCAGCAAGGGGAAAAATAGTCCTTAATCTATATGGGAAGACAGATCAAGTTTGCAACAGACCTATTCACAGAAAATTGGCAGGCCAGGAAGGAGTGGCAGGATGTATTTAACGTACTAAATCAAGAAAATATGTGACCAAGAATTCTTTATCCAGCAATGCTGTCATTCAAAATAGGAGAGATAAAAAGTTTCCCAGACAAACAAAACTAAAGGAACTCATGACCACTAAACCATCCCTGCAAGAAATTTTAAGAGGGACTCTCTGATAGGAGAAAAGATGAAACAAAACAAAAAAAGACCAAAACCAAAAAAGACCAGAGAACACCACCAGAAACTCCAACTCTACAGGCAACACAATAGCAGTAAATTTATATCTTTCAGTACTTACTCTAAATGAACTAAACACTCCAATCAAAAGACAGAGGGTATCAGAATGGATACAAAAACAAGATCCACCTATATGCTGCTTACAAGAGACCCATTTTAGGCTTAAAGATAATTTCAGACTGTAGGTAAAGGGATGCAGAACTATCAATCATGTTAATGGTCACCAAAAGAAAGCCAGAGTAGCCATACTTATATCAGACAATCTGGATTTTAAAATAAAAACTGTAACAAGAGATGAAGGGGCCTATTCATCAAGAATATCTAAAAATTGTAAACATTTATGTCCCTAGTGTGAAGACCCAAATATATAAATAAATTAATCACAAACATAAAGAAACTCATTGATAATAAGCATTTGACAAAATATAGCATCCCATTCCTGATAAGAATCCTCAAGAAAGTAGAGATTGAAAGGTCATACCTCAAGATAATAAAAACTATATACAAAAGACCCACTGCTAATATCGTCTTCAATGGGGGAAAACTAGAGCTTTCCCCTTAAGGTCACGAACATGACAGATATCCACTCTCACCACTGTTATTCAACATAGTATTGGAAGTCCTAGCCTCAGCAATCAGATAACACAAAGAAATGAAAGGCATCCAAATCAGCAAGGAAGAAGTCAAATTTTCACTTTTCGCAGACACGATACCTTATATGAAAAACTCAAAAAGATTCCACCATAAAACTCCTAGAACTGATCCATGAATTCAGCAAAGTTACAGGATATAAAATCAATGCTCAGATTTCGGTTACATTTTTATACACCAATAATGAAGCAGCAGAAAAATAAATCAATAAATAGATCCCATTTACAACTGCACCAAAAACCCTAAAATACCTAGAAATAAACCTAACCAAAGAGGTGAAAAATCTACGCTGAAAACTATAAAAAGCTTATGAAAGAAACTGAAGAAGACACACAAAAAAAGGAAAACTATTCCATGTTCATGGATTGGAAGAACAAATATTGTTAAAATGTTAATACTATACAAAGCAATCTACATATTCAATGCAATCCCATCAAAATAACACCAGCAATCTTGATAGAGCTAGAAAAAAAATCCTAAGTTTTTTATGGAACCGGAAAATACCCCAAACAGCCAAAGCAATCCTGAAAAAGAAAACCAGAGCTGGAGGCATCACAATCCTGGACTTCAACATGTATTACAAAGCTGTAATCATCAAAACAGCATGGTATTGGCACAAAAACAGACACCTAGATCAATGGAACAGAATGGAGAACCCAGAAATGGACCCACAAATGTATGGCCAACTCGTCTTTGACAGAGCAGGAAAGCATATCCAATGGAATAAAGACAGTCTCTTTAGCAAATGGTGATGGGAAAACTGGACAAACCACATGCAGAAGAATGAAACTGGACCACTTTCTTACACTGTACACAAAAATAAACTCAAAATGAATGAAAGACCTAAATGTAAGATAGGAAGCAACCAAAATCCCATAGAAGAAAGCAGGCAAAAAACCTCTATAGCAACTTCTTACGCAACATGTCTCCAGAGACAAGGGAAATAAAAGCTAAAATGAACTATTGAGACCTTATCAATATAAAAACCTTGTGCATGGCAACATAAACATCAGCAAAACTAAAAGGCAACTGAAGGAATGGGAGAAGATATTTGCAAATGACATATTAGATAAAGGGTTAGTATCTAAAATCTATAAAGAACTTATCCAGCTCAACACCTGAAAAACAATCTGTTGAAGAAATGGGCAAAAGATATGAATAGACACTTTTCCAAAGGAGGCATCCAGATGGATAATAGACACATGAAAAAATACTGATCACTTATCATCAAGGAAATACAAATCAAAACCACAATGAGATACCACTTCACAACAGTCAGAATGGTTAACATTAACAACTCAGGCAATGACAGATACTGGTGAGGATGCAGAGAAAGAGGCACCCCTTAGCACTACTGGTAGGAATGCAAACTGGTGCAGCTGCTCTGGAAATAATATGGAGATTCCTCAAAAAGTTAAAAATAGAAGTAACCTATAAACCAGTAATTGCACTACTAGGTATTTATCAAAAGGATACAGGTATGCTATTTTGAAGGGAGACATGCACCCCAATGTTTATAGCAGTGCTATCTACAATAGCCAAAGGATGTAAAGAGCCCAAATGTCCATCAAAAGATGAATGGATAATGAAGATGTAGTATATATACATACAATGAGTATTACTTGGCAATCAAACAGAACGAAATCTTGCCATTTGCAACCATGTGGATGGAAAAAAAAGTGTATTATGCTAAGCGAAATTAGTCAGAGAAAGACAAATATCATATAACTTCACTCATATGTGAAATTTAAGATACAAAACATGAACATAAGGGAAGGAAAGCAAAAATAATATAAAAAGAGGGAGGGGGACAAAACATAAGAGGCTGTTAAATATAGAGAACAACAATCTGAGGGTTGCTGGAGAGGTTGGGGGTAGGGAGATGGGCTAAATGGGCAAGGGGCATTAAGGAAGACATTTCCTGGGGTGAGCACTGGGTGTTACATGAAGGGCCAGATTCTACTCTTGAAATCATTATTGCACTATATGCTAACTAACTTGGATGTAAATTTAAAAAATAATAATAATATAAAATAATAAATAAATAAAATAAAATAAAATAGAAGAATAAAAGCCCAAGAATAACCAGTAATTTCTGAGAAAAGAATTATGCATAGGGACTAGCTCTACCAGATATCAAGAATTACAATAAAACTAAAGTAATTAAGACATTGTACTATTGGGCCAAGGATAGAAAAACTGACCAAAAGAAGAGAATAGAGAGCCAAAATCAGATCCACACATGCATGAAAACTTATGATAGACATACCACTTCAGATCTTTAGGTTAAGAGAACATTCCAATAAATGATACTAGAACATTTGAATATCCCTATAAGGAAAATTTAAACATTGCCACTATCTCACACTCAAAGAAATCAATTTAAGTTAGAGTAAGCTCTTTTATAGAAAAAGCAAAACTTAAACTTTTAGAAGAAAATACGGAAGAATATCTGTATGACCTTGGGAAAGGGAAAAACTTCTTAAACAAGAATTTTTTAAAAGTCACAACATAAAACAAAAAATAGATATATTCTACTCCATTAAAATTAAGAACCTCTGTAAAACCAGCCATAAATTACAAGAAGATACACGGCATACATGACAACCAACCAAGGATTAATCTACAGAACTTAATTTTTAATGCTTAAAGTCAATAGGAACAAGACGAACAAAAAATATGTGCAGAAAATTGACAGAACAGGAAATATGAGTGATTGACAAACATACAAGAAGATGTTCAATCTGTGCTCAAAGAAATGTGAATTAAGACCACAATGAGACATTAGTTTTTATCTGCTAAATTGACAAAAATAAAACCTGACAACCAATTACAGGAGAGGACAGAGATCAACAGGAACATTCATACATGACAGGTAAGAGCATAAATTGGTACAGCTTTATGTACAATGTCTCATTTTCTTGAAAGCTACATATTCAAATTCTATACCTTCCAGCAATTCCATTCATAGGAATATATCCTGGAAAACTACTCCACATGTTAACAGAAAACATGTAAAGGAATATTTATAACAGGTCCAGGCTTAAGAGGAAAAATAAATAAATAAAAAGAAATAACCCCAATGTTAATTAACCCAAGAAACAATAAATAAATGTTATAATCTAGTTTTGCAAAAAACTATGTATGCTGTCATGCTAAGCACAATACAAAAATTCTATTAATAGGTTTAATAAATGTTACACAAGACTTTTCACCTTGTTTCTCTTGGCTTTCATTTGGGCTTTTGCTAATAGAGTGTACATGGTGATCTCAGGCCTGTTCAAAGTGATCCCATCCAAGACCTGAATGGCCTTGTCATGGTTTTCACAAAATGAATAAATGAGCGCTTGCTGTATAGGACTCAACTCGATGAGACCTAAAAGGAAAATAAAGTTTAACAATACCCTTGGCAAGTAACTAGGATTTAGAATATAATTATTTTCAGGTAGTAAAGCAATTTAATAATTTATCTTTGTAATATGAATAAATCAATGCAACACTAAAATCTATTTACTACCAACAAACAATAAGACATTCCAATTACAAACAACAACAAAAAGAAAAAAATAAAAGTATAAACCCTGGCATCCCCTATAATAATATCTCAGAAAAGCCATTTCATCATGAAACACTCACTAGTTGATTTCATACATGTGAAACTGAAGATTTAAATTCTTAAAATCTATCTCTGATTAAGTATGCCTACCATGTTATCCATACTTGCCTATTAAAAACAGTATAAGCATTGTAGGAGATATTTATTTTAAAACTTAAGATAATTATAATCTTTTATTAATTATATTTACCTTTATTCATTTCTGCCACTTGATAAATAGTAAATTTTGCAAGATCATAACATTTCATCATAAGAAGATATTGTCCTCTGAAAGAAATAATACTTTTTAATTCTAAGTAGTTAAAAATAATTTTTCTAAAAAAAATTCTTATAATCAGCTACTTAAAATTTTACAATTACAATACCTTTACTCATACTTATATACGTATGATGAAAACAATGTAAAAATTATAAACATTTTATGTAGTCTAAATAGACCAATTAGTATGCAGATGTGATGAGAAAACAATTTAGGAAAAGTGAAGCTGAAAGATAAATACTCAAATCTTTTTCCAATTATTTATATTTTAAATGTTATACTCTGAACCCACACCTAACATCATACTGAGTGGTGTAAGACTAAAACTTTCTTCTTCTAAGATCAGAAATAAGACAAGAATGCCCATTCTTGCCACTTTTATTCAACATAAAAGCCCTAGCCACAGCGGACAAGAAAAAGAAATCAAATTAGAAAAAAAAAAGAAGTGAAACTCCTACAATTTGAAGATGATATGATACTGTATAATCTATATAGTATCTATATATATAGTAAACCTTAAAGACTCCAAAAAAAATAACTATGATAACTAATAAATAAATTCATTAAAGTTGTAGGATACAAAATTAATATACAAAAATCTGTTATGTTCCTATACACTAATAATGATCTATCAGAAAGAGAAATTTTTTAATCCCATCTACAATTGCTTCAAAACGAATCAAATTCCTAAAAGCAAATTTAACTAAGGCGGTGAAATGAAAGATCTGTACTCTGAAACTTATAAGACATTGATAAAAGAAAAAGATGACACAAATAAATAGAAAGATATTCAGTGATTATAGATGGAAAAATTAGTATTATTAAAATGTCTATATAACCAAGGTACAATCAATCCATATCAAAATGCCAATGACTATTTTCATAAAACTAGAACAAAAATCCTAAAATTTGCATGAAAGCACAAAAGACCTCAAATAGCTAAAGCAATCGTGAGAAAGAACAAAGCTGGAAGTATCATGCTCCCTGATTTCAAATTATACTAAAAAGCTATAGTCATCAAAACAGTATGGCACTGGGATGAAACAGACAACATAGATAATATAGCCAATGGTATTATAGGTAGCTACAATTGTGATAAGCATAGAACAATGTATAAAGTTATTGAATCACAATGTTGCACATCTGAAACTCATGTATCATTATGTGTCAACTATATTTCAACTTAAAAAAAAAAGATGTGGTGTATGTGTGCAATGGAATATTACTCAGCCATAAAAAGGTACAAAATCTTGTCATTTGTGACAACATGGATAGAGCTAAAAAATATTATACTAAGTGAAATAAGTCATATAAAGAAAGAAAAATACTCTATGATTTCACTTACATGTGGACTCTAAAAAAAATGAGGGGCACCTGGGTGGCTCAGTCAACAAAACTTCTGACTTCAATTCATGATCTCTCTCTGTGCTGAAAGCTCAGAGCTTGGAGTCTGCTTTGGATTCTGTGTCTCCCTTTCTCTCTACCCCTCCCCAGCTCACTCTCTCTCTCTCTCAAATTAAATAAACATTTTAAAAAACAAACAAAAAATGAATAAGCAAACAAAACAAAAATACAGACTCATAAATACAGAGAACAATCTGGTCACCAGACGGAAGGGGGTTGATGGGGAGGGTTGAAATAGGTAAAGGAGATGAAGAAGTAGAAATTTCCAGTTATAAAATTAGTAAGTCACGGGGATAAAAAGTACAGCTTAGAGAATATAGTCAATGATATTATAATAACTTTGTATGGTGATAGATGGTAATTAGACTTAGGTTGACCTTTTTGTAACATATAAATTAGGAATCACTATTGTATACTTATACTAGTGTACACCTGAAGCTAATATAATATTGTATGCTACCTATACTTTAACAAAAGTAAATAAATAAAACAAAATGTTATATTCCATTGCTAAGAAATTATTAAAAGACACAGTTCAAAGAACATAAAAAGAGGTAAGTATTTGCATAAATTAAAATGTGGTTCAACACTTAAAAGACAAAGCAAATCCTTATCAGAAAGCATTGTTCCAGTATATTTTTCTATGTTTATAAGTCCATTTACCATGTTAATGATTTATCAATACATTTTTGGTAGTGACAACTCATAACTTGCAATGGGTCCTATTATAGCATGCTCTACTGCATTTGAAATACAATTCAATGTGTCTTTTTTTTTTTTTTCCACTGAATTAACTGAGGTTTATATTTGGTACCTCTGAACACCATCAAACTATTCAAAATATGTTACCTTGCTTTAATGAGATATGTGATAATTATACAACCAGTAATCTAAGGAGGCCTCAAAGAATTTAAATACTAAACTGTTGTCTGGGTTTTACTGTTTATTTTGAGAGAGGGAGTATGCATGTGTGGGGGGGGGGGCGGTGGACAGAGAAAGAGAGAGAGAGAGAATCCCAAGTAGGCCCCATGGTGTCAGCATAGAGCCCAACACAGGGCTCGATCTCATGAACCACGAGATCATGACCTGCGCCAAAATCAAGAGTTGGACACTTAACCAACTGAGCCACCAAGGCGCCCTGGGTTGTGTTTTTTTTTTTTTTTTTTTTTTTTTATTCCAGTATAGTTAACATACAGTGTCCTACTAGTTTCAGGTGTACAATACAGTGATTCAAGAATTCCATATATTAGTCAGTGCTCATCAAGATAAGTGTACTCTTTAATCCCCTTCACCTATTTCCCTCATCCTCCCACCCACCTCCCCTCTGGTTACTCTCTGCTCTATAGTTAAGAGTCTGTTTTTTGATTTGTCTCCTTTTTCCCTTTTGTACGTTTTGGGTCTTAAATTCTACATGATTGAAATCATATTCTGACTGGCTGGTTTATTTTGCTTTGCATTATACCCTCTAGATCCATCCATGTTATTGCAAATGGTAAGATTACATTCTTTTATGGCTTAATAATATTCCACTGTGTATCTTCTTTATCCATTCACCTATCAATGGACACCTGGGCTGCCTCCTTAGTTTGGCTATTGTAAATAATGCTTCAATAAACATAGAGATGCATATATCCCTTCAAATTAATGTTTTTGTATTCTTTAGATAAATACCTAGTAGTGGATTACTGGATCCCAGGGTAGTTTAAACAGTTGTGTTTTGATCCAAGGATAGAGCAAAGGGTATGATCTGGTTATCTTATAATATAAATAATCTTAAAATTTAACAAATACAATAACTATAGCTGACTTGCTAGTTGAAAAGATGGCCATCTGCTGAGAAATTAAATGTAAAAAGAGGAGGACAGAAAGATCAAGAGGGAAGTAAAGATCCCAACAGCTAGCTCCTGTGCTAAGTGATGCCTAGAAGAACTCCATTTCTATGTTCGTACCTTATTATATATAATTGGATTCCATCTGGCTGAAGGTGGATGGCACGAGATAACTCTCTTACTGCCCTTTTCAATTTATGCAACTGTTGAGTGATAAACAGAAACTTTTCTTATAATAATACTGATTGTTTCCTTATCGATGCTTCCCTCCCACCCTTCAAGACAGAAATTTTGCAAGAACATCTTCTAATATACATGAGTTCTTTTGGTTTTGTTTGTTTGTTGTTTTTAAGAATCATCAAAGCAAATGGGATACAAAGTTTCTTAAAAACGTTTTAAAAAAGTTTTTAAAGTTAAAAAGTTTAAGAAGTTTTTTTAAAAAACTTTTTACTAAGCCTGCCCTGGGTCTTCTACCTCCACCATCAGGAAAGGAAGGGTGCTGAGTGGGACTCTAGTCACACAGGGTCCTGAAGTGTTGAGGATGGAGAACAAAGACTCTAGTTAACTCCCAGTAGACAAGCACTATGAGCAAGAAATAAACCTTTGTTATTTTAACACAGTGATTTTAAGTGTTTGGGGAGGAGGGGAAGGATTTGGGGTGTGTGTGTGTGTGTGTGTGTGTGTGTGTGTGTGTGTACACATTTAGCCACAGCACAAACTAGACTCAAACTAGACTATCGATCGGGGCTGAAACCAATATGACCAGAGAACTCGTAGAAGACGAGGCCAGAAAGGTAACAAGGAGCCAGTTTCTATGATTCTTAGAAGCCTTTGGCTTTTGTAGGATTTGACTTTTATTCTGATGCAAGGGAAGCTATTAAAGGGTTCTGGGCAAAATGAAATAATCTGACTTATGCTTTAACAGGATCACTATGGCTGCTGTGCTGAAAACCCTTCAAAAAGGAGTAAAGAACAGAACCAAGGAGACCAAGAGGTCCCTGAAGCAATCCTGGTGAGGAATGACAGTGTCTTGGACTGTCCATAAAATTATGGATGGTGTTTAACTTATTGTTATTTGTATGCATATATTACATGAAATAAATATATATTGTTTTTGTAATAAGGAAAAACATTGTTTTTTTAAATGAAAGACAAAATTCATACCTCATAAGTAAAGGGTTTATATATAGTTAATTATAATAACTACATCTACTTTATATTTATTGCTTAAAAATGCATTAGCCTCTGTAATGAACTGAAAACAAATATACTAATATACCAAACTTATATTGAACAACAGATATCCAGAAAATTAAAGCTTTTTTTAAAAAATCAAAGTTTTCAAAACTTAAATACCTTATGATAGGTTTCTGCTCTACAAATATAGCTTTGAATATATAAAGGATCGAGTCTAATAGCCTCAGAAAAATGCCAAATGGCTTCAACATAGTTATCCAAGTATAGCATATGTATGAGGCCGATATTTATGTAAGCCAAAATAACAGTTCTAAAAAAAATGAGAAAGCAAAATCTGGTTAGACAGTTTAATTATTTCAAATGTTTTCCAATTTTGAATGAACCTAGTGAAATATATACATCAATATATACCAGGGTGTTTTTTAAAATGTTTTACTAAAACAAAGTAAATCAGTTAGCTATTCACTTAAAAATTATAAACACCTTTATAATTGAGAATTAACATTTACAGAGTGTATGCTAGGAACAGAATTCCTGAACTCCCCAGTCCATCTTTATTCTTCCTTGACTTAATCTTAACTTATCCTGAATTACAAGTTTAGTTTTTCCCAATTTAAGTTTTCCCCTCAGGCAATGTTGTGTTCACCCTGAATAACAGAGAGAAACAGTAATATTCTCAGAGCTTGGGGTTAAAAATCTTTTCCACCTACGTATTAACCCAGCTTCTTTTCTATATCAAACAAAAGCATTTTTTTCTCTCTTAGAATCAAAACATTTTCAATATAGAATTGATCTCGGAAATTACTTCGTTTGATGCCTCTATTTCAAAATGAGGAAACTACATATCCTATAGCCCAGCTTTGTTAGAAGCCTAGACCCTTTGTCTAAAAGACACCAAAGTTCTTACTGCCCATTTTTTGGTCTTTTTGCAACTGAAACTCTTTTCCTTCTGGCTCAAAAATATCCTAAAGAGAACTACTTTGGCCATTATGGAGCCATTCTCCATGACTTCCCCAAGTCAGTTTTAAAGTTTACCTTAGATAAAAGTAAACAGTCTGCTGGTTGGCATGGAATTGGGATTTTTTTTTTTTTACTTTTCTTATGCCTTCCATTTTAATGAATGCTTCTTTGAAAAGTATAGAAATTAATTAATTCTATGATTGAGAGCTTAGATTTCTGATTGGTGTGTGCAATTTTCAGTCTTTATTTCTTCCTGAACCTATGTTTTAATGGTATTGGTTTTTTCTTTTACTTTACTATGCAAAATGAAGTCAGAAATTCTAAACAGTTTCTTCCTAACGAGTCATATGTTATGCATAGAAATATATCAAGCAGAATATTTTCTCGTTATTTTAAAACTTGATGACAGTTTTTCATGAAGTTAACTTCAAGAAGCTCTAATCTGGGTATCCCCACACTGCTGTTAATAACTTTATGTTGTTATCTGTGAATTGGACTCATCTCAAATGCATTCAATATCTAAAATTTGCAAAAGTATCTAAGGTACAGATGTTGGGAACAGGTCTTTTTTTAAAATATTTTTAATGTATTTCTAGGAGAGAGAGAGAGAGAGAGAGAGAGACAGCGTGAGCAGGGGAGGGTCATAGAGAGAGGTATTTACAGACTCTGAAAGAGGCTCCAGGCTCTGAGCTGGCAGTCAGCACAGAGCCCGACGCGGGGCTCGAACCCACGAACCGCAAGATCATGACCTAAGTGAAAGTCGGACGCTCAACTGAGTTAGCCACCCAGGCGCCCTGGGAACAGGTCTTATCTTGGGAGTAGTATTCTAATTCTAATTCTAGGATGATTTTACAATTGTCTCATTTTACAAGGTTATTAATGATGAGGGGAAAGGGCTTTATCTTTTATTTTATTTTTTTCTTAACTTTATTCAAAAGTGAAATCAGTAAGAATGAAAAGGGAAACATACCTTTCTAAAGAAATAACAGTTTCAAAGTCACAGATTGCCAGCAACCAAAGCTTTAGATCTGCGTAGAGTATGCCACGATGTAGGAAACAACCAAGATTCTCATAGCCATCATTTATGAGAGCTTAAAAATAACAACATATATCTTATTTGGGTTCTGAACAAAAATATCTGAATTGTATTTTAATCTTTACCCTTCCCATTGCTTATTCTTACATTTTAACCTTATAAAACATATCTATGATAAGCGTACTTATTTGGTGAGCAAGAAATAGTATTCACATAAAAAATGTATTTGTTTATAAGGAACAATGTGGCTATCAAGGTTCACAAGTTCATTAAAAGTGGAGAAATCCTGATGGTAATCTAGGATAGTCCACTCAGTTCACAGATGAAGAGATTAAGGTGCAAAGGGGCTAGGTACCTTAACCACAGTCATGAAGCAAGTCAATGGCAAAGATGGAATCTAACTTCTGATTCACTTCAGCGGATTGCAGTCAGAAGGGCACCATTGCCCTTGAGGGGCTGTTAATTATCAGGAAGGCATTGCTTTTGGCCATAACACAGACTCTGATACAACTCCAGAGAGGCACATGGCAGAGATCAGGCTGCTACACATAACCCAGGAAGGGCAGCTCTAAGAGACTACTCAAAGGTAAGTCAAACTTAGAGTCAGGCAGGCAACTTGACTATGTATGTTCTAAACAACAGGAATGTGGGGGGAAAAAAGAATCTTTTCTCAGTACTCCAGGTGTGTGTCTCTCATCTATAACCAGTCTAGAAGGTCATCTCATGTATCCCCACTTACTAACTTTCCCAAAAACATGTGAATTATATGGGTTTTCCTCAACATTTGGTCCATGCTTTCTAAGCTTCTCAGGCCCATTCTGGCTAAGAAGGAAAAGTTTTGCCAAAAATGTACAAGTGCTTACAGTCTGGGACAAAAATATTCACAGTGCTAGATTTGGGAAAGTATATTTCGTTTAAGCAACGATGATACAGATAAAATAAATAATCACATGAAGGCACTCTGTTCCATTCACAGTATAATTGGCTAGCAAAGACAAAATCAGCTGCACTTTTGGTGGTTGCTCTAGTAAAATTAAAAATTCTTTCTAAGGAAAAAAATATTAGAGTAACTTAACTTCTCTGTGCCTGTTTTCTTATCAGGGATGAAAATAACTCCTGCCTCATAGCATTATTCTGAATATTAATTGAAACACTCCATATAAGCATTTAGAATAGTGTTTGGCAATTAGTAAAATATACAATAAATGTTAGATATTATTATTAGCTTGGAAAAATATCTTAAGGGTCCTTTTTGATTGTGGAAGATAAAACTCCTTAAGCTAGTCTACAGAAAATGAGTAAAACCATAATCAAGTTGGTTTGCTCTGAATAATTAAGTAACAAGGACTACATATTACTGTGATAGCCTAGAAAAGAGGGAGTGAGGAGCCCACAACTTGGAGAAGAGGGAAGTATGAGAAAAGAGGCTTTTAGAGATGACCAAAAAAGGAGTTTGGCCAGATGGCAGATGGACAGAGCTAACAGTGAGAAATAAACTTCAAGAAAAAGGGGTGTGCCTGACCTTCAAACTTAAATAGTTTCTGCTAACTTTATCCTCTGACTCCTAAGATATTCATTTTCTTAATGTTTATTTTACTTTTGAAAGAGAGCATGAGCAGGGGAGGGTAGGGGGAGAGGGAGACATAGAATCTGAAGCAGGCTTCAGGCTCTGAGCTATCCACAGAGCCCGAGGTGGGGCTCGAGCTCACAAACTGTGAGATTATGACCTGAGCCAAATCTGACACTTAACTGACTAAGCCACCCAGATGTCCAGAACCCTAAGACACTCATTAACAGTAACCCCAAGAACTGTACAGATAAGCAAATATGAAGAATCAACCAACCATAGAGCAGAAATTAGGTGCAAAGATTATACAGAGTTAAACAAAATCTAACTTAGTCTTCCCTTCCAAAAGTCCATGGAAATAGAAGGGAGGGCACCGGAGGCTTCTCAGCACATAAGATAGACTCTGAGTTATTTTATTTGAATATTCATGGGACAGATGGCCTCAGAAGGCAATCATCTTATATTGCCTTCCTTCAGGAGCTATGTAATTCTCTTTGTAAGAGTCTGGTTGTCTCTTAATCTCTAGATACTGATACTGCCTCATCTAGAATGATGAGATTATAGCACTTTGCATTCAGGTGAGCAGTGTTGGTCTCTGGCTGGAATTATCCAATCACAATAGGTTAATTTATTCAGCTGGAGACTGTTTACTGAACACTTACTCAATGCCCAGAATTGTGCAGGGCATATTTATACACCAAGAATACACTGATACAGGGTAAAGTGGAAATGGATACTTTTACCTTTTGGCATCCTATTACTAAAGATTCTCAAAGCTCACTTTTAGTTAGTTTAAGGGTTTAAAAACTCTGACTTTGACTAATCAATGGGCTAGGCCTATGGAGGAGGACACAGCGCACTAGGAAAATTCACTGCTGTTTTAGCAACCTGACTAGAAAATAGACCTGGATTTCCAGAAGTAACCTCATAACTCAATACAGAGAAAGGGATTTCTTTGATATGATATTCTCCCTTTGCCAAAGTTATACCCATATATGTAAGTGCAAACATACTCACATTCACTAAAAGGGCATACTAGGAATACTTAAACCATTGTAGCTTGTGAATATATGTGAATATATATACTATATAAATATATCTTAATATATAACTACATAAAAAGATACATATTATATTAATCATTCCATATTAGTTATTCTACTCCATGAACTTCAGCTCAAATTCCTACGCATGTGCAGTTGAAGGTGAAGTACCTGAAACACTGTAGTCCTGGAGTGCTCTAAAAGGGCTACTCTTTCTAAATAAGCAAGCTCTATAATACAGTGCTAACCAGTTATTAGGATCTATGTGAATTGCCACAGAAAAATCTTGAGTGGCTTGCTTATAAAATTGACGTTTAAAATATGCTCGTCCTCTGTATGTCCTACAAAAAGAAAAAAATTCATTTTAATACATACTGCAAAATACACATTTTCTCTTTTTCCCTCTACACCTAATTTTATATTTGAATAACAATTACTGATTATTTCCGCTTGCTTCCCAAAGAAGGTTAGTGATGATGTTAATAGCAAAAAGGATATGAACTTTTTCTAATTAAATCAAATATATTTTATCGTATATATAATTCTATGCTTATTAATAATATGCTAATTATATGCCTACTAATTTTATTACATTTCTTGCATTTATCAGAGAGGTGCATCAATAAAATACATAGGAGATTTTTTTATTTTTATTACTTATCAAGTACCCAAAATGTTAGGGTTTAATTTATATAAGATTCTTCTCTAGAAAAAACAACCCATTTTGAAGGAAATGGGCCTCGTGAATGGAGTTGTTAGGAGACTTTTCTATGACACTGAAAATACACCCTAATAAATGGGAGGCTGCTTCACAAGGATGAAAGTTATTGCATCAATTGTGCTTGGATTTTATCTCCATTAACTTCTGACTCCAATTTCAAAATTATCACTAACCTACATCAATTCCTGAACATTCCATTTTCAATCATTTAGTACTGTAAAACAAATCAGCTTTTAGAAATAAAATAAGGCAATTAAGGAAAAACAGGAGGAACAAGCTACTAGGTTACCTGCTTCAAAGAAGTTAAAATAAATCCATTTGGGAGGAGGGGGAGGGGATAAAGAGATGTTTAAGAAAGTTATATTATAAAACCAATGATAACTTGGAGAAGGTACATTGGCAGGCTGGTAACAAAGATCTTACAAAAGCACAAAGCATCCTGAGACTCATGATATTTTATCCTGCACCAAAATGTTTTTTGCCCCATCTTTAAGAAATGCCTTATTTATTTTCTAATAAATATAAGAATTTTATACTCATTTTTAAGTATTTCTGATTAATAAGAATATTCTTAATGATTTTGTAGCATATTATGTGACCCTGAACTTAAAATTTACAGAATAAACCTTTAGTAATATTTTTGCAGGATGCCATTGTCATGTCAATTCTTCAAACATACTGACTTTTCTATCTTTTCCTTACTTTGTTTCCACTGCTTCATTCTTCATGCCCTCCAGCAATATTTCCAGCAATTTTCTTTCCTTAGAATGTATTTTTTAAAATAATTTCAGGGGTGCCTGAGTGGCTCAGTCGGTTGAGCACCCAACTTCGGCTCAGGTCATGATCTCACGGTTTGTGGGTTCAAGCCGGCGTCGGGCTCTGTGCTGACAGCTAGCTTAGAGCCTGGAGCCTGCTTCGGATTCTGTATCTCTCTCTCTCTCTGACCCTCCCCTGCTCACACTGTCTCTCTCTCTCTCAGAAATAAATAAAAAACATTAAAAACATTTTTAATAAAAAATAATTTCAAAAACCACACCTAAAATAATTCTTACCTGGCTTGAGAATTTTGGGGATCTATATTTAATAAAGCTGTAAAATCCTGTATGGCTGAAATCCAGTTTTCATTTTCATAGTAAAACATCCCACGTTTCAGTAATGCATCTGCTCTTTTGGGATCATAAAAAATACACTACATGCAGGGGGTGGAGGACAGGCACAAAAACATCACAATAATGAAAAAAATAAAACACAAGAAAAATATAAAATCTCATAGCAAATTAACTGGACTACAACTGTGTTTTTAACTTCAGATTATATAAATGCAAACTAATTTACCTAAACTTTCAAATTTGCTTTTAAAGGCCAGGTCTTTAGTAAGAATATTTATCATCAAATTTTAAACAAGAGAGGTTTTCTGAGACAGAGAGAAAACCCCCCAGCATATATAAGAAGCCAAAGCTTTTGTTCACTGAAATTTTTACTTTGCAAGTACAATCAATGTTCAACTAAAGTGGGGTTATAATAGATCACATCATTTATCACAATTAAAGATCATACATATTAGACCACATCAAGGCTGATTCAATCAATTCAAATATGTATTAATCTAGACCCTAAAATGCTGACCAGAAAGGAACTGGTATTGGTCTGGCTTATTCATTTCATACTGACATGCTAGGCAAGAATGAAAATGCTACATCACTGTATATTTAGTTGTAAACTTCTTGCCTATTGATAGTGGGGGAGGGAGGAAGACTACTGAGTATTTTTAAAATAGTAGGGAAAAAAAAGAAAACCCTAAAGTTTTTAAGGCTTGTTTGACCTCAAGTGGCTGCATTAGTCAATTCGGGGAGGAAATGAACAGGAATAAATAATGTAATAATTTCATTATCTTCAAAAGAGATTTTTGATTACTTCTAATTTACAATACTCTCAAAACAAAAGAACGTCAAGTATGGGCTAACCATCATGGATTAAGAAAGAGGGCAGTTGGGAATATGGAAAGCTAAACTGTTTAAATAACTTCCAAATTCTCAATTGTACTAAGAATTAGAATTTAGAGTGAAGTCAGGAGATCACAGGTACAATTCTGCTGCAGTTAGAGTACTATTTTGCCTGACTCTAGCCTCAAAGTACAGTTCAGCTAAAAGTTCACTTCTTCAAGGGAATTCCCAAATATTCCCCAATATAAATATATAATTAAACATATATTTACCCCTCCATCATCTGTATTTCCTTTATAGTACTCATCATAAATTGTACACATTTATATATGTATTTATTGAATATCTACTGTAACCTAAAGGCTCCATAAGCAAGAAACAGGTCTGTTTCATTCACCAACATTTACCCACTACATTATACAGCACCTTAGTTGGTAAATATTTGTGAATGAATGAATGAGCCGGCAAGCACAGCTTCTTTAATAGCAGATGTGTTTGCTATAGAAGAGAATCAGCCATGTCTCAAGAGTTAAGAGGTGGAAAATAACTTTCTCTCTTGTTTAAAGGGAAGAAGCAATTTTCTAAGGTTTCTTTAAGCACTGTTTCATGCTTTAAGAGGAGACAGCTAGTAAAGTCGTGCCTCCCCTCAACTCCCATTGAGTTTTCTCAATGCACCCATACCCAACTCTTTGACATAAATCCATTCATTCACTAATAATAAAAAAAATCATTGACATAGCATTAATATCAATTCCAGTAATGAGTGCTCTAGGTCCTAAGATACAATAAATTAGTTTTTATTATATAATATATGTGAAGGACTCTCAATGATTTGCTCTAATATTAGGAGAGTATCATAATCTATAATATATAAATGTCAACATTATATACGATAAAGCTTACTTTAGAAAAGTCATCAATGGCCAGTATTTTGTTTGCTATTTCATACATCTCCCCCCTCCTGAAATATATATCAGCATCCGTGGGCTTGCACTTAATTGCCTGAGTATAGTTTAGAATTGCTAAAGTAACGTCTTGTCTTCCCCTGAAAATTTCTGCCTTTGACAAATATGCCTCTAAAGAAAATTAAAAAGGTAAAATTTAGTGTCACAGTCCTTTTATTAACTATGAAATTTTTAATCCCTCTCCCTCCAAAAATGTAGAATAATGTTTATTATACTTTCTTAACCATTAAGGTTTTTTTTCTATTTCAACAATGCAGAAATTGTTCTCAAATGCTGAGAAGTACCCATTTATGCTCATAAGCATTTTTAATTTCAATTTGAAGTAACATAAATTACCTTTTACCTTTATGTATATCTAAAGTGTTTCATACTTTTTTAAAGATTATAGGAAAACAAAAATGTATGGACTTTTGCAGAAAATAAGCATAGATCAAAAAAACATTTATTAGGCTCAAGTTATATTCTAGGGATATGTTATACATGCTGGGGATACAAAGGTGAAGAGGACATCTTCTCATCTCCCAAAAGTTCCATGTTTAGTCATTCAGGCTGCTTAGAGGATGGTACATAAAGGCAAATGTATAGATTTCATTCAATCAAGAAGTCTTGAAATACTAAAACTCTTCAGAGATTTGTGGTCAAGAAAATTTGATTTATGAATCACTTCTGTAACTAAGATTTTTAAGTTCATATCCTTCTTGTGGGATGAACATTAAGGAACCAATTTATTGTAAATGCACACAAGGACATTAATTAACATTTCAAACCATGGTGAGTATTTTGAAAACACCAGAGGATCATACAAGTCCCATATGTACAATATCAAGAATAAATTTAACTTTAAAAAGCCACAACCATTTTTGGAAACTTATATCTATTAACTTATATATCTTTATAACACCACTAAGTGACCAAAGCTTAGGTAAAGATATAAATAACTACAGGCACCTGGGTGGCTCAGTCTGTTCAGTGTCCAACTTAGGCTCAGGTCATGATCTCATGGTTTTTGAGTTTGAGCCTCGCATCAGGCTCTGTACTGACAGCTGAGCCTGGAGCCTGCTTCGGATTCTATGTCTCCCTCTCTCTGCCCTTCCCTGCCCCTCATTTTCTCTCTCTCTTTGTCTCTCAAAAATAAATAAACATTTTTTAAAAAATATAAATAACTGAACAGAAAACCCACCTGCATTATTCTTATTATATTTATTTATATAATTCAAATCATCCAAAGCTTCATTAATTTTGTCTTGGAAAAGATATATGAAATGTCGATGCCAATAGGCATTGAGAAACAAAGGCTCCAAGAAGATAGCCTAGAAAATAAATATATAAATTCAATTAAAGTTGGTTTATTAAAGGAAGTTATCCCAACAAATGAATTTTTCAAATACTATTGATTCCAATGACATTTTATGTGTATATTATAAAATGATACCTCCCAATCTGACAGACAAAATGTAGTGTTTTTCATATCAATCATTTGAAAAGGTCAATGATTTTAATTTCATAATCCCACATGTATAACACAAATATTCATTGTTCAAAATTCTATTAGAAATTATTCCATAAATTCTTAGATACGGAGGAAAATTATATAACAGTATTAACATAGGTATCAATTATTAATATTTTATTTTGATTAAACAAAACTTACTTCCTGTAGATCTTTCATGGCACTCTGCAATTTTCCCAGTTTCCTATAAATAGCTCCACGCCTACAATATGCAAATGCAGGATATTTTTCCTTATCATTTAATTCTTTAGTCAAGATCTCCACTTCAGATTCATAATATTTAGTGACTTCTGGAGGAAGACAAGACTTCAAAGAATCACTCAACTCTAGTTTCGGTAGTTCTTTCATTTCTTCAGACATGTCTTTTTGGATAGACATTTTAACTTTTTTGTGTGTGGTTGTCTTCTGACGTTTATGCTTAGAGAACATATCAAGAGCCCATGTTCGAGGGTCAGTATTTTCTGGAACTCCTCCCTTACTTTGGACAAATTCATCAAAATTTAAACAGAAAGGTAGACTGGGACACTGAAATTTACGTTCATATAATGGAACTCTGAGTAAACATTTCTTCTGTCCAGGAAGGATTCCATGAGATGTTGATCTAGTTATTAAAAGAGTGATTTTTAAATGATAGAAATACAATTATTTTTATAACCAATAAATCAACTCAGTTATACACAAAATTAGTTTCTCTATTGTTAAAATAAAATTAGATGCTATTTTTATGCAAACCAAGTTCTCCTGTTCATTCTTCAAAATTGTAACATCATATGAAGAATATATAGAAACTCTATAAAAGTTATGAAAGCAGAAGATTTTACCTAAAGATGTAGCCTTTTTAGAATACTGAAATAAGGGGTCATGCTTCTTTCAAGGTTAATTTACACCCCTGCCCCCAACCAGAGAAATTACAATGAGGAACTGAGGAGGTAAAACTTGATGTGAGGAAGGAAATGCCATCCAAGAGTTTGGAGAGGACATGAACTTTAGAAAATGGGAAGAGGAAAAGATTTAACTACTCAGTATACAATCAAATTAATATCCCAGATTCACCCTTCTTTAGTAGACTATCAAATTAGAGAATACCTAATATGCTTTCAAATGCTATATTTGTAGTATTTTCCTCCTCAAATTCTCCATTTTCTAGAGTTTTCATTCAGTAACATTTAGCATATGATGGATAGTGTACTAGCCACATGAGTGAAAGTACATTCTATTGGAATAAAAAAGTATAAACCTCATCATTTCATAAATACTTACTGAGTTTATACTGTTAGAAAGACCTATTGTTAAACATTAGGGGACTTAAAAAGTCAGTATCCTTCTCTTTCCTTACATTATAACACTCTCCACTCCTCTCTACACTCGAGCACAAGCTGCCATCTCTCTTCTGACTAGAGTACAATCACTTCTTACTAGAAGGCTTCTATTCTTGCCCTTTGTCTAATCTGTTCTCCACCTGGAAGTCAGCATGCTTGCTTGTTTTTTTATTTTTTTTTAACAAATGTAAATCAGATCATGTTACTCCCTCCAAGAGTTTCTCCTAATAGCAAGAATGCAAATCAAGCTTTTCCTCATGGTCTACAAGAGTCTACATGATGGGGCCCAGGCATATATCTCTGATAACACTACTCTCTCTCCCAATTTTACAGCCATATCATCTGAGAGCAAGCCTCAAGGCTATTGCACTTTTCAGCACTTCTGAGTGGCTGGCTCTTTCTCAATTCATATTTCCTATCAAATGTTACCTTAGAAAGGCCTTCTGTGCCAGATGTGTTTGGTTTCTACCTCCACATTCATCCCTACCCTTGTCTACTTTGCCCTCTGACCTGGGGGACTTAATCTGTGTAGTCTATATTCATAAGATCCCTTGTTCTCGGTCTTCTAACTGGGTTTGTCCAATTAGAAACCCCAAAGAGGAAAGGAGGAGAGTGAAGTCAAGGTATTTATTCCTCTGACACCCTTCTGAAGGGTTGCTTCAAACTGTCTATGATCCTCGACCAAAGATCACTACTTTTTTTTTTTTAAGGAAACCCTTTCTCCACAATTCCTCTTCCAGGCTCCAGTAATCACTCCTAATTTTTTTGTCCTTTCAGACTTAGGGGAAGACAATGCTCTATTGTTTTTATCCATAGTATACTACATTATCATTTGTGGTTTCTTATGCCCTGATATTTTTGTAAATTTTCCTTTTATTGTATTTTCATAGAATTATCCTAAATTGAGAGAGCTGTTTACTACTGGTACCCTGAATGATAAAATAATTGGTACCTGGGGTAGACTCAGGAAATACACACACAGAAGGATCCCAGGATAAACTTCTTCCCAGGATAAAATAGGACAAAATAATTCATGGTATGTGGTGGTATCAAAGCTCCTCATATTATCACCAGTGTTAGCAGGGGAGGGTGTTTAGGTAGAAGGCAAGGTAGTAGGAGATCAAGTAGCTACCACTTAGTCACTAGGACAACAGTAATGGTTATAAAAATTGTGGAATCATTTTACTTCTTACAGACCAAAAGAGAAGAACAGTACCTATTATTAAATGCCCAAATTCTCTAAACCTTGTATACCACGATAATGAAGCTACTAGAAAAGAAATAGGAAACTGATATAGGATGTGAACATTTGAGCAGGCATGAATAAGGCTGAGAATTTTGAATCTCCAAATTCCATTCATCTTCTCTTGACAGAAGAGACAGGCTGAGGGACTCAACCCTCTCCTGTATAAATATCTTTCGATGACTATCCTGAGATATTGCTTCATATGCTATGTCAAATCTGATTCAAAGACTCCTCAAAATCACTCAGCTGGGATCCCCTGAACCCTCTTGTGGAGCTACAAAAACTATTGTCCCTCAGTCTCTTACATACCTCCTCCACATAGGTGGCCTTGGATGGGTGGCTGCTAGCCCTAGCCAGTGAAGCCTTGCTAGAGTTTCTTACCATTCTCTGAGTGATTCTCAAACTTTAGCATTAATCATCTGGAAGACTTGTTAATGCAGATTTCTAGTGTAGATTTCTAGCTAGATTTGGTGGACAGAATTTTAACTCATGGAGATCTGTGGCAATAATTAAAAGACTGCAGGTCCTCAGGAAGTGAGCCTGCTAAGGTGTTCTTTGACTTACATAAATGAAAAACTTTTAGGTCTTCTTGGCATAAGCCTAACCAGCTATAAGTGGGATTTGCAACCTCTCATGCAGCTCTCAGACCTCAGCCAGTTCATATCCAAAACCTCTCACTTGACAGGAAGGCTAGCCCAGGTCCCTCTAAGGAAGGGTCTGGCAATGTGGCCCAGGTGTATTTAATGAAGTCCCCCCCAATTTACCAAATATCTGGGAGAGAGGAAACACTCAAGCCTTCTCAGAATTATTAGGTACTTAACCCTAAACTTATGTTGATACCCATTGTGTATGCCACTGAAGTTCACAATCAAATTAGAGAATTCTGAAGGTCAAGTGATATAAAGAATCTTGGCCTGAAACCATCTAACAGAATCTAGTCAGACATCAACCCATCCTGTGATAATGTCCCTAGTTCCAGAATGTGTAGTTAGAATGAATCAACTTAATAACTCCATAAACTATACCATAAAGAATATAATAGTAGTAACGATCAAGTAGAAATCTTTGGAACTGCTCCCATTCCATCCCATACCATCATCCACCAAGACAGCACACCAAAAGCAATACTAGGCCATCAGGGAAATTATAGATTAGTGGCACTAAGGAAAATATGTCACCCCCTGTTTGGGGTAGGGTGAGAATAAATTCTGCCTTTCTTGGGAATATAGCAGCAGCAAGATAGGCCCAAAAAATCAGGACGGGGACTCCAAAATCACTTTCAGGAGCTAGTCAAGTTTGGAAGTTTTGATAGTGGAAATGGAGACCATGGTCAGTTATTCTAAAAAGGGGACAGAAGGAGATGCATTTAGGAGAGCCAATAGCAAAAGGGCTGGTCTGAATCTCAATTCAAGCATGTTACTCAATCTTGGAAGACAGAACACTGGCAGAGATCCCAGGGACTAGTGATTCATAGAAGTCCAGGTAAGAGAGAAGGTAATGAGTATAAAGGAGTAAACGTGGACTGGGAGCCATCAACAAGCACATCTTACTGCAACAGTAAGCTGCTGAAGAAGGTCTCCGCTAGTCCCTTACTGGCTGGTCCACCAATATTGGGCTCAGAGACCAAAGCCAAGAGAAACTTCCAGAGAAATGATGAAGCTACAAAATTATTACACACACATAGCATCCTGCCATGACCTAGATGAGGGGCTAGGCAACAGGGGTAACCTATAGTAAAGAGACTGACAGAAAACCCATGGCTCTGGGTTTTTAATCAGCTGAAATGGACTTTGGCAGGAGTTACTTTCCACAGTCAAGCTTTGACTTGATATATGAGAACATACACTGTCTGCTTCTAACTATTTAAGGGAGTTAGCAAGAATGAGTATAATTAGACAAGCTTAAAGGTCAGATATACAATGGTAACAAGAAGGATAATTCTGTGTTAACCAAGTTAAGATTCGTGAAAAAAGATCTCAAACTATAGGATTAAGACTAGTTTCTCCATAAACTTGTTTTAAAATAACAATTATTTCACAGCTACACTTTTGTGCTGAATTAGGTTAAATTGATATGTTTTTAAAAAAGAAGTTAAGAAAGCTACTAATATGGTATCCTAGATAAATACTCCCATAGTTTGTTTTACTGCTTCCACCGAAAGTCTCGTCCTATTACACTTGTTGGCAGTGTATACAAATTTCAATTCAGTTGTTAAAAGGCAAATAAATCTCTTTAAATGGTGAAACTTTATAATTAAAGTGATAAAGATTCATGAAGTAGTAAAATACCCTACCAAACTAGTGTTTCATATGTTTATATTCTTTACAGATATAGAAGACCCTTAGGTCATGGCCAGAATGGTGCAGCATATTATCCTTTCTGGAATAGTAAAGATTCATATCCTTTGAAATCAGCAAAAGTATCAAAAATTTATAAGGAAATTTCTGTTTCTTACCAAAAACATTTGTCAACCTAGGAAAACCTATCTGAAGTCTTTCAAAGATGAGCTAACAAAACCAGTTCCACGTATTTGTTGCAGGGAAAACTCCAGCATAAGTAGCGTGCAGGGAACTCAGGACTTGGATGGCATCCTCCACTAGGACTGGTCTCTCTCTTACTCTGTCACTCACGCTTACAGAGATTGTTCCCAAGTCTTTTCAGGGACAATAAGCCACTACACCAAAACATCATCAACTATGTTTCAGAACCACCAAGTCTTTATAACAATAAAGTAAAAACAGTTATGATTCACTTATCAACAGTAAAGTCTTTAGTTTTCGAATGGGCATACTAGTAATGAATTCTTTATCATCTGGGGTTATCTAAAGAAACAAAGCCCAGAGCTTTCTGCAGACTATTTTGCACAATACTTCAGTCATAACAAAGTTACGTCCTGAACACTTAAAAATGAGCATACCTGGAACTTCAGTTGTTGTCATCTCATGTCGTCGTACATTTTGAAACATGCTAGATAGTATTACCTCCGAGTAAGGAGAAAAATGATTTCTATGTGTTGATCCCTGAATAAGGGCTCACACAACATACAAAAAACAGTTTGTCTATCTAGATTTCTCAATTCATTAGTTCAAATTTGAAAACAGCTAAATCTCAGCAATTTATTTCAACTTTTGAATGGTGACACTTATTTGGAGCAGGGTTGTTTTTGGTGTTAAATCACTTCAGAAAGACAACTTAGTAGATTTCATTTCTTTCCATTGAAAGATTTCATCAAATAAAATTGACTTAGTTTTACTTCATGTCCTTAATCATCTCCAACTTTAAATTACAGTTTAAATCAGTCATATAATTGTACTATTAAATATTCATATATTTAAAAGTAAGGGATTGTCCTATAGTTAAGGATTTAGCTTATTTTCATTGCTGAATAAAATAATAACAACTTCAGTTAGTGAAAATGTAAGCGTAAGGCACCAACTACAATACATTTCTTAAACTATGACAATTACTGATTAAATAAGACCTTTTAAGAACTTTTGGTGGCTTGGATAATTCATCATACACGTTTGAAAGTTTACTGAGTTTCAATCTTTTCTTCCATTTCATCTTCTTTTTCTTGGGATAAACAATGTAACTTATGCCAGCTTTTCTAGATGCTTCAATGAGAGAGAGAGACATATCTCTCAAATTGCTTCTGTTCTGAATGTTATCTAAGTAAGTATCTATATTTTCTTTCACAGAGGTGGGTTTCTCAGTTTCAGTCATCCAATGCTCCAACTGCTTTGCTTTCTGAAATATCAACTCTTTTATATTGCTTTGTATGTCATCCTTAATCTCTAATGGAGTTATGGTCTCCTCTTTCCTCAATTCAACTGCCGATTTTACTCTCTTAATTAGCAAGGAAACAAAGAAAGAACAATTTAAAATCAATTTAGTTGCGGTGTGTTTTAATTAATTCAGTTACAATTACTATTAATGTAGTTTGGTCACTTATTGAAAAATTTTAAATCGTATTCCTGATGTTTTTCAAAGTCAATGTATAAAGTTAATAGTAGGTTAGTTAAAGCAAAATACAATAATTTGGTAATGTGACATTTTTCTAGCTACATAAAAATAACACTATAAAGTAGGTATGCATTAACTGTGATTTCATATATTAATTAAAAGAAAATGTTTTTTACATACTGAAATAAAGTACAAACTCTACTTTTACAAGTAATGCCAAAAAATTGGTAGAATGGGTAAGAAATATTAAAATGACCTATCCAATAAAATCAACCTGAGTCGATTTTCTTTTCTTTTTTTTTTTAAGAGACTGTTCTTTCTCTCTCTCTCTCTCTTTTTTTTTTTTTTTTTGGTTAGTTTTATTTATTTTTGGAAAGAGAGCTTCTGTGCATGAGTGGGGAAGGGGCAGAAAGATAGGACAGAGAAAATCCCAACCAGACTCTGTGCTGTCAGTGGAGAGCTCAATGTGGGGCTTGAACCCTGAAATCATGACCTGAGCTGAAATCAAGAGACAGCTGCTTAACTTACTGAGACACCTAGGCACCTCAGTGAGTTAATTTTCAAAAGCACTTTAACAATACTGAATTTTTATACAGTAGTATTCAAGCATTCTTTACAAAAATTTTCAAGTCAATATTTACAAGCTTAAGAAACAGAATTCCTGGAGCACCCGGGGTGGCTCAGTTGGTTAAGTGTCTGACATCGGTTCAGGTCAGTTTGTGAGTCGGGGCCTCATGTCAGGCTCTGTGCTGACAGCTCAGAGCCTAGATCCTGCTCCGGATTCTGTGTCTCCCTCTCTCTCTGCCCCTCCCCCATTCATGCTCTGTCTTTCTCTCTCTCAAAATAAACAAACATTAAGAAAAATCTAAAAGGTAATAAAATTCCTCCAGTCTAATATTTAATTCTCAGAGAATCCACTTAACCTTTAATAATAATATCAATATTATAATATACTAAACTTGTAATAATTATGCATTAGTACTTGAAACTCTAACATAAATCTAATAAAAGAGATAAATACCAATTCTTTGATATAGAATTTCCAGTTTATTGAGCCATGCTCAATAAATTAATTGCATTTAAGTTTGTTAATAAATAATAATTTGTTATACAAATGTTTTTCTTTACAGTGAAGTTAGGCCCAAATTCCAAACATAAAAATTTCACACAAACTATATACTAAAGTACAATAGAGATATTGACACTGCATACTTACTATACTTCCCCCATCTCAAGAAACTATATGTAACTCTCTATATTAGAATAGAGAATAGGGTAATACATAAACTATAGAATATGTGTATGTACAATATAGGTATATATGAAAAAATATAGACATGTGTATGTATGTGATATATATATCAAGAAAACACAGTACTGAAAAAAAAAGTAGAACATAAGATGCCCCACTTGCTGATGAGATATGCAGTCAAATGCTCCACCCGAGCTACACCCCCATGCTGACGAGATATGAATTATACAGAGGCTCTATGTATCTCTGTCGGACACTCAGGAAGGAATCCTGAGAAATCTGTAACTATAAAGTAGAGCTACCAGAATGGGTTTGGGGTTTTTTCATACCTTACCGAAGTATTATTAATATATAACATATGTAAATTTAGGTATACAATGTAATGATATGATACATGCGTATACTGTGAAATGATTATTACAATAAAGTTAGTTAATACTTTCATCCCCTGACAAAATTACCATTGTTTTTGTGTGGTGATAGCATTTAAGATCTACTTTTTAACAACTTTCAAATATATACAGTATTGTTAGTTATAGTCACCAGCCTATACATTAGAACCCTAGAACTTACACATTTATAACTGGAATCTTGTACTCTCTGACCAACATCTCTTCAATCCTCTTTTTCCCACCCAGCCCCAATATCTACTCTATGTTTCTGTAAGTTCAGTTTTTTTAGATTCCTCATATAAGTGAAAACAGATAGTATTTATCTTTCTCTGTCATATATCATAATGTCCCAAGGTCCATCTATGTGGTCACAAAAGGCAAATTTTCCTTATTTTTTACAGTTGATATGCCATTATTTATATGTTGTATGCACACACGTACAAGAAAAGAACACTGATGGCCAATATCCCTGATTAGTATACATGGAAAATTATCAAGGAAATACTAGCAAACTGAATTCAACAGCACATTAAAAGGATTATACAACATGATCATGTGGGATTTATCCCTCAGATGCAAAGGCAGTTCGATATATACAAATCAATAAATGTGACATATCACATTAACAGAATGAAAGATAAAGATTATATCTGTTTCAATAGATGTAAATAAAACATTTGACAAAATTCAACTTCATCTCATGATAAAAACTCTCAACAGATTTCGTATCATGAGGAACACACATCAACATAGTAAAGGCCATATATGACAAGCCTGCAGCTAATATCATGATCAACAGTAAAAGACTGAAAACTTTCATGCTAAGATCAGGAACAAGAAAAGAGTACTCATTCTTGCCACTTTTACTTAACAGAGTACTGGAAGTCTTAACCAAAGCAATTAGGAAAGAAAAATAGGCATCTAAATTAGAAAGAATGTAGTAAAACTGTCTCTATTTGCAGATGACATAATCACATATAGACAAAACTCTAAAGACTCTACCAAAGACTGTTAGGATTAATTAATAAATTTGGTAAAAATGTAGGTTACAAAATCAACAACACACAGAAATCAGTTGCATTTCTGTACACTAACAATGAATTATCTGAAAAAGAAATAAAAAATTCCATTTACAATAGCATCAAAAATAATAAAAATACTTAGGAATAAATTTATTCAAAGAGGTGAATGATCTGTATACTGAAAATTACAATACGATAATGAAAGAAATTATCACAAATAAGTGATAAGACACAAATAAGTGAAGGGTATCTCATGGATCAGAAAAACTAGTATTTTAAAATCTCCATACTACCAACGCCATTAATAGATTCAGTATAATCCCTATCAAAATTCCAATGTCACTTTTCGCAAAAACAGAAAAAACAATCCTAAAGTTCATATGGAAACAGAAAAGAACCTGAATAGTCAAAGCATTCCTGAAAAAGAACAAAGGTGGAGTTTCACAATTCCAGATTTCAAAATTTATTAAGAAACAATAGTAATCAAAACAGTGTGGTACTGGCATAAAAACAAATATATAGACTAATGGAATAGAATCAAGTGCCCAGAAATATCCCATACATATATGGTCACCTAATATTTGATAAAGAAGCCAAGAATACTCAATGAGGAATTGATAGTCTCTTCCATCAATTGTGCTAAGAAAACTAGATATTCATATGCAAAAGAATGAAACTTCCTATCTCACACTACTCACAAAAATTAACTCAAAATAAATTAAAGATTTCAATTTAAATTTCTTAAACTATAAAACAACTAGAAGTAAACATAGGGAAAAGCTATTTGATATTGGCCTTGGTAATGCTTTTTATCAATATGATATTAAAAGTATAAGCAACAAAAGCAAAAATAAACAAGCTTCTGCACAGCAAAATAAAAAATCAGTAAAATGAAAAGCCAACCTACAAAATGGGAAAAAAATACTTGAAATCCATGTATCTGAAAAGGGGTTAATATCCAAAATATATAATAAACTCATAACTGAATAGCAACAACAAAAAAATCCAATTTAGAAAATGGGCAAATCAACTGAATAGAGATTTTTCCAAAGGCATACAAATGGCCAATGGGTTCAACTGAATAGAGATTTTTCCAAAGACATACAAATGGCCAATGGGTTCAACTGAATAGAGATTTTACCAAGGACATGCAAATGGCCAATGGTTTCATAAGAAGATGTTCAACATCACTAACCATCAGAAAAATACAAGTCAAAACTACAACAAGATATCACCTCAAACCTGTTAGAATGCCTATTATAGGGAGGAGCTCCCATCCAAGATGGCAAAATAGGAAGACCTCCACAGAACTCACCTCCACAGAACACACCAAATTACACCTATTTACAGAACAATTCCTCCTGATGAACTAAAGGCCAATGGATCAGCTATTGAACAATCAAAGATAGAGAATGACAAAAAAGAACAGCAACAGAGACAAAGACATGAAAACAAAGGGAACTCCCAACCCTTGTGCCGTAAACAGCAGTGGAGAGGGATAGTTCTGAGGAACTGGGAACATATTTGTCTTTCCTTAGGCACAGAAAAAAAGCCACAGTTTAAAAGAGTGGCTAGTATATAAAAGAGAAAACACGGGACCTCTGCCAAATGGAGGAGAAACTTTGGGAAGCTCTCTAGGTCAGAGGAACTAGAGAACAACACAGCTTACATTTATTTCTTCTCCACTTTAAAAGCCTCTAGATAGGATCAGGGTCTGGATACCATAACTGGTAGGTCCAGTCATCAGAGCAAGCGAATGACCTCAGTAAGCTCAGGATGTGCAAATCCATGCCAGCCTCCAGTGTGCCGGGGCACAGAAAACAAAGCCAAGGTTTAAAAGGGTCAAGGAGCTGCAGGACTGCTCTCTCCCCATTCACCTTGAAAGCCTAGCCCAGAACAGAGTCCGGCCCACAGTGAGCTTGCAACCTCAGCCAGTCTCAGGGTCTGCAATCCCAAGGTCTACAAGCCCACGCCAGTCCCTGTGGCACTAGGACAAAAAAAATAAACCAGGATTTTTGTTTGTTTTAGTTTTTTTATTTTTATTTTTTATTAATTTTTATTTTTAATTTGTCTTGTTTTGTTTTTATTTTTGTCCTTCTGGGGTTTCTTTCCTTCCTTCCTCCCTCCCTCCCTCCCTTCCTTCCTTCTTTCCTTCCTCCCTCCCTCCCTCCCTTCCTTCCTTCTTTCCTTCCTTCCTCCCTCCCTCCCT